CCTCTATTCTTGTTTACAAATTCCTCCCAAAGAGAACTGCAGTTTCAATATGTACGCAGAGTATACGCAACTGCAATTAACTTTCCTTGCATTATAAACTTGGTTAAACTCTTATATAATGCTTTAATACCAGATTGTGTAAGATATTGTTTTTTTTTATTTATCATTGAAAATATTTATGGTCACGAGATCTTTTTTCAAATACATATTTTAAAAAGCTTGATTCAAGGTGAATGGTGTGAGAATGAAATAAATTTAAAGGTAAAAAAGTAAAAAATAAAAAAACATTTTTTTAAACTGCAAAGATAAACTAGTTTTAATCATCATGTGACAAGAATTATAAAGTCAATTTTAATATTAATTTTATTCGAATATACTTAAGTATAGTAACTATACTTCCTGGACACAACAATTCCCCCCCCCCAAAAAAAAACAATTATTTTCATCTTATTGACCGCGAATTTTGACGTTTCGTAACTTTCATGGTCGGGGAAATACAGCCGCCACTTACTCAAAGCTAAAATGGGGTTTGCCATAAAGCGATAAATTTATTTCGCGCAAATCTGTTCCGCGAAAAAAACAGAAAATTTCGCGAAAAAATTGAGATAGTTTTCGCATTGTTTTCGAGAAAATTTATCATTTTTTGTTTCGCAAAAATTTAGCTTTTTGTTGCTAAACAGATTTATGCGAAATTTCGCGAAAAAGCATATTTTTTTTCGCGAAAGTTTTCGTTCAAGGGACTATTGATAGCACGTCTGATTTACAACGGTACGTTTAGTCTTTGTCTAATCATCAATGTTGTTTTATATCCATAATCTACTTATTGTGGTTTATCTATAAAACTGACTTGCGCGTTTATATTCCTCAGAAATGATAATGCAGTAAATTTTCATTATGGATCAGATAGACGCCTAAAGGGTACCATTGTTCATCGGGCATGACCCCTTTTTTTTAATGGAAGGTCGATTGAAATCACAAAGACAGTTTCTGTAAAGTTTGACTGTTAAAATTATTAATTATTTAGGAGGATGAGGATAAGAGTGAGAGTGAAACAAGTACGTTAACTATACAGGAATATAATCAATAAGATTATTTCTAAAATTCAAGAATTTTAATTTAAACTTTTTAAAATTTCTATTCAGGTTCTGAATCCGGTTACTCTATCAAACTTATATCTCTGGGATTTAAACGCATATGAAAACAATAAGTTTAAGGTTAATTTTTTTTAAAGTTTTGGTTAAAGGGAGTGGTTAAGCATTTCAGAAGAGGGTCGTCCTTGGATGTGTTGGACCAATAAAAAATGTAGAAATCTAATAAAATTATCTATAAAAATACTTTATTTGAACCTGAAGATAAAAAAAATCAATCCGTAGGTTTGCATAATTTGGAGATTCCGAGATTCACAACAAAAATATTTAGACTTCTAAGCTGAAAACTTTTGAATTGAATACCCTTAATCGAGATCGTTTAACCTGAATTGCCAATAATCCACTTTTTTCTCTCTTTTTAGATTAAATTTAAAATCTTGAGCCTAATAAAAAAAGAGAATCAAGCATCTATATCAAAATCCACAATTCTAAAGTTTTCAGTTCAGGATTCTTTTTATATAATAATAACAGCAGTAACAATAATTAAAATATTCAAAATAAATTATAAAATTATAGAAATAGAACGAATGCGATAATCATTATTCACTTTATCACATCACTGTTATTTTTGCTCCAATTTTCAAAATTGCCAATCCAACTCTTGGTGAAAATAATCCTAGGGCAAAATCCACGAAAGACTTTGAAATATGTAAATTAATGGAAATCAAATTGATATAAAATTCATCAGTCTGAAGGCAGTGAATTAACATCAAAAGAGAATATTCTCAAAACGGAAGGGATAACTATGTAAGTAAATTTTAAAAAATAGTTCATTATATATTACTAGCTTGGGAACCCAGCTTTGTCTAGGTTACTCATAGTTACCCCCGCTAAGAACAATACCGTGGCTCTCCTGAGTTCCCCAATAAAAATTTTAGACAAATCGATCCCGGGGTTCCTGAGCTATTTGTATGTAAATCTAAATGCGCTTGTAAATAACTACGCAAAACTTGTATTACGATTAACCTAACCTAGCTATGTCTGTAAATATCTACGTCAAACCTGTATTGTGATTAGCTTAACTACGCTTGTATATAACAACGCAAAACTATTAATTACGTTCATTAACTTAACCTATAAAAATCAAAATAAAAGTCAGTTGGAATAATACTTCGCTTTGATTATGGCGTGAGAGTAATTGTTTCTTGGTTAGCAAATTTGATAATTAAAGTATGATGATCCCCAATCAAGTGAAACGGGTCTGTTTACACTGCACAATTGATATGTTTTCAGTATTAACGAGGATGGAGATTTAAAGGACATAATCACCGAAGAGACTAAAACAAGGTGAACATTATTTTGTTTTTAAATTTCAAACATGGTTACCCACAAAAGGATGAGACTTCAAAATGATTCTTAGAATTCTGGTTGCCAGAACACTGCAAACCAAGATGTGAACACTTTCCCGCAAAAATCGTGCAGTATTTTGCCAATTACTCCTTTTTATTGTAAGGTAGAAACAAGCACGTTGCATTTTTAAATTGTATATGCTTTGGCCTATAAAAAAGCATAAGTAAGTTGGTGGTGTAACACCAAAAAAGCATAAGTTGGTGGTGTAAAACCAAAAAAGCTTAAGTAAGTTGGTGGTGTAAAACCAAAAAGCATAAGTAAGTTAGTGGTGTAAAACCAAAATAGTATAAGTAAGTTAGTGGTGTAAAACCAAAAAAGTATAAGTAAGTTGGTGGTGTAAAACCAAAAAGTATAAGTAAGTTGCTGGTGTAAAATCAAAAAAGAATAAGTAAGTTGGTGGTGTAAAACCAAAAAGCATAAGTAAGTTAGTAATGTAAAACCAAAAAAGTATAAGTAAGTTAGTGGTGTAAAACCAAAAAAGCATAAGTAAGTTGGTGGTGTAAAACCAAAAAAGCATAAGTAAGTTGGTGGTGTAAAATCAAAAAAGAATAAGTAAGTTGGTGTTGTAAAACCAAAAAGTATAAGTAAGTTGGTTGTGTAAAACCAAAAAAGCATAAGTAAGTTGGTGGCGTAAAACCAAAAAGCATAAGTAAGTTGGTGGTGTAAAATCAAAAAAGAATAAGTAAGTTGGTGGTGTAAAACCAAAAAGTATAAGTAAGTTGGTGGTGTAAACCCAAAAAAGCTTAAGTAAGTTGGTGGTGTAAAACCAAAAAAGCATAAGTAAGTTGGTGGTGTAAACCCAAAAAAGCATAAGTAAGTTGGTGGTGTAAAACCAAAAAAGCAAAAGTAAGTTGGTGGTGTAAAACCAAAAAAGCAAAAGTAAGTTGGTGGTGTAAAACCAAAAAAGCATAAGTAAGTTGGTGGTGTAAAACCAAAAAAGCATAAGTAAGTTGGTGGTGTAAAACCAAAAAAAGCATAAGTAAGTTGTGTAGTTGTCTAGATAATCTGATAAGTGAGAAAACTATGTTTAGGTCAGAGACCCAAGTTCTACCTTTACATTGCTATATTTAAATATTTCTAGGTTGACATTAAAGTTATTAAAGTTTCGTCATTTGTGGGTAACTCTGTAATCTGCATTTTTCATGAAAAGGAAGGATGAAAATGTTATAAAATATTTCTAGGATTTTGATAAATCATACCAAAAAACTGGAAAATGCGCTGGAGTGGGCCGCTAGTAAAAACAGGTAGGGCCGAGCATCAAAAAAAAATACAAAAAATGTTAAAACATTTTTTTTAGATACACTGGGAGTGGAAGGAGAACCTCAAAATAATTACAAAATTGTAAAATTAAATTCCGTTGTACTCTAATAAAGTTAGGTTTTGCATATTTTAATCTGATTTTATGGTAATTGAACACAGGTTTTTTAGATTCAGCTGTATCACTATCCAGTGACTGGCAAGAAATGGGTTTAAATCAGAATTTTGATGAAATCTGTAAAATAAGGTGTAATACGTATCATGCAATCTACGGGACAAAAACTAGATTTCAGAGAGAAATTTTTATATCTCAAACCAGCGACTTAACCCCTTCACGATTGTGGAAGAGGTGGCAGAGTTCCGAAGCCTCGTGATTCGCAGAATGACCTCCAAGCCCCTCAAAACCATCTCTGTGTCTATCGCTACGTCTCCAAGCCTCAGCAATTCTGTCTCCACGTCCAGCATTTTGATCTCTAAAAGTAGATTTTTGGCTTTTACATTCACCAAAAGCCTTTCATCTAGAATCTTAACACGATAAAAAGTTATCAATGATACATCAACAATTTGAATTAAAAAGTCTAAACTATAATTCTACAGCTTTTATCCCTCTTTAGAGTCATCCTTTGATCTAAAAAACCATCTTAAACGTTTCAACATATCAAAGAATTATTTATAAAGGCGATACCGAAATAGTCACTCAAACTCATGTTTATTGGGGTGTATATTAATATTCGCACTAACAAACTTTAGATGTATGACTTTTGGTAATTATGAAGTAAATGCAACTAAATAAAATTGAAACATTTCATTACATCTGTAAATGTAAATCTCTTTTTTGATAATAAATTGATTATTTTCTTACATATATATTTACTGATTCAACAACGTTTATTTTTTGAATTGTATAACAATGATCTGTAAAGTATAATATTTACACATGTCGTACAGTGTACAATGTACATAAACAGTGGGTTAAAGGGCTACAACACAACTAGTACAACAAATTGAAGTTTATTATGTACACTCCACAGTACTTGGAGCTGTACAGTGTACTGTAATCAGCACAAACGACACGAGAAACTGTACAAAAAGTACAGCAAATCCACGAAACATTGTAAAAATCAAATACATCAACAGTAAAATAGAAAATGTTAAAAACATATTCCATTATTTTACAAATTTGATGATAGTAGGAAAAAAGTAATGTACATTGTACATATTCAATATTTCTTGATAAAATCCATGTATTTTAACAAAATATATTTAATTTTAATTTAAAAATTTAATTTCTAAAATTGAAAGAGACGATTCAGATTTATCTTGAACAGAACTACTGTACAGTTTAGATTTATAATTTCATTTACAATTGTACACTGAACATAGTTCTATATAAAAGTTATCTTAAAATGAACTTTTTCTTTGGTTGATACATTATATACCTTAATATCAATATATTACAAAGGAAATTAAAGAAACTAAAACGATACAGAAAGTAATTTTCCAAGAAAGATTTCACATTTACAAATTTAAAAGTGTTTACAAATACATTTAATTTTCGTTGTAAAATATTATTTAAGCAATAAAACCGAGTTAAAATATCAAAACTTTAAAGTTTAAAGAATAAAAATACTCTTGTGTTGTATAAAACAAATATTTCTGGCGGCTAAAATTTGCCAAAGTCTGAAAATCCTTCGAAGTCCGTTGTGGAAAAGTCAGGCCCATCATGCAGCGTAATCGAATCCTTAGAGGTCTAAAAACATCGTCAATTAAGGAATAGTAAACGTAAGTTCAACTAAACCTCTATTTAAAGAGCGTGTTCGATTCAAAACAGTACCTTAAAAGCTTTCACTGATAAATAAATAATAAGATGTCCACAATTTTTTTCTCAAATTTCTGAAAATATTGGTTATTTTGATTGTATTTACTCAGTGACTTGTGTATTTCTTGTAACAGAAATTTGTAAGCAAGCCTCAAAAACGACCAAATCCTCCAAATTGTTGATCAAATAAAGGGGTACCGTTGTGAATCGGACATAACCCTCTTGTATGGAGAATAAATAGAGATTCTTTAATCTAGTACACGGTACACGTACAGTCTCTTTAATCTGGCACATGGTACACTTNCAACAATTCTTAAACGGTCTTTTTAATGAGACAAAGCATGATTGTTAAAGTGTAAAGTGGATTTCTTTTTAAATAATATAAAACTATTTCGAAACTTTATTCCTTAATCCTAAAATTATCCTCACTAGAACCTATCCTTTAAATCCGCTTATTGTTCCCCTACTACAGATAATAATTTAATATAAAGTAGGATTTCCAGACATAGCTGGGTATCCAAGCTAGTTTAGATATAAATGTCTACTTACATCGAATGTAAAATCTAGATTTGTTTCATCCTCTGAATCCTGATCAGGTTCAGGCTCAGCGTCCAACTTTGTCAGGTGGGTGATTATATGCTGGGTTCCCTATTGCAATCACTCAATCAATCAATCAATCAATCAAGCTATCAATATATCAATCAATCAACTTTCAATCAATCAACTTTCAATCAATCAATTCATTAATAAATCCCTCAATAAGTAAATAAACCAATTTATATCAATCAATCGATCAATAAATAAATCCAAAAATCAATCAATCAAATTATTGAAGTATTCTGTCAGTCAATCAATCAATATCTACTGTGATAGCATACATCACTAACAACTCACCTATAAGATACCGTCAAACTAGGTAATTTGCACATACGATGTTTTCCATCATAACTCCTTTTATTGAAGAGCAATCGAGAAAAGAAAAACAATGTTCTGTATTTATAATGAGTAACCAGTTAAATTTGCTTAAAGTCCAAACTAAGGGAGCTCCGAGGTCACAAAGTCGTAGCATTTATGTCGCATAAATTTGACCTTCTCATTCTGTCTAGTTGAGTGTGATTTGTATGGTCTGCTCACCTTAATACTTTTATTAGCATAACTGCTCCCATTACTGGTTAGAACCATGAAGCTGTTTAGCTTCTTTAACACTTCAACCATAGACTTGAAGTCCCGGGTAGGAAGGTATTCACGAATCTAAAATTAATGATAATGATAATAATCACTATCGAATTAAATAGAATTTATTTTATTCAGGGGGGGCTAAAGACTTTTGGAAAACAACTGTCCAATTTCAGAAAACATTCTCTCCAAAGGAATGGGTTATTACTATTTAGATTTTGATATAGAGCTTAGGATTCAATTCAATTTTTTACACATCCCGATTAGGATCCTGGATCCTCTCTGAAAAAGGACCAATGGATCCAATCCGGATCCGGATCTGGATCCAGTTCATTAACTTTAATATATCTCATTAAATAAAAGTTGAAATTTCCGTTTATAGAGCAAAACGTTTTTTTAAGCAGGTTTTGGTAGATATTTTACCCCCTAGGATTATGATCCGGATTAAGGGAGTGGAAAATGTAACGGATCCGGACCTTAAGCTTTAGATTCTAGTAAGAAAACTAAAAAAATAAAGAGGATATAAACTTACCCTGCATTCGTAGTCGTCTGAGCTTATAGTCAGATAGCCAATAATCAGTCCAATATATGCAGCTAAACAACATGGTAAAGTAAAAATAAAAAGTTAAAAGTTTTATGAAAAATCGATGACATGAAAAAGGTCTGCTTTGGACAGAACTCTGTATACAAATTTAGAAAAGAAATTACAAAACAAAACAACGAGAAGTTTTTTAACAAATCATAATTTTGAACGAAGAGTGAAAAAAAATTTGATGAGACTGATAATAAGAAAAAAGGAAAAAATCGATAAATAAAAAGTTGGCATAATTTTCATTCAAAACCTTATTTCAACAAAGCTCCGTGAAAAAGTTGACCTTTTTTCTAACAACGATTTTTTCAAATAAGTTTAAAAAGACAACAAATTATGTTGCTAAATAGTCATGAAAAGAATTGAAAAAATTATGTGATATTGAACTACTGTTATAACGATAAAAGTGGGCGCTCCTCGCCACCCATGACTAAAACCAAGGTATTTAGATTAGAAGGTTTCCCAACAAGAAGACTGAAAACAAGAATCCAATTTGGTTCCATCTAGCGACCCATGCTATACGAATAATTAGTTCCCATATTCGCCGCTAGTACGTATGAAGTTGTAATTGTGGCGCTGCATGTCCGTGTTGTTTACTTCTTCTCTTATTGGCAGACCCCACATAAAGAGACTCTGGATTAAATCTAAAATGTTGACTCACCTATAATATATGATTCCATATGATTTCCAGCTTTGTTGATTAACTTCTGGACCGTCTCCTCTAATGTATCCTTTCCTTTCTCATTCTTCTTCTCCTCCTCCTGAAGTTTAGTTTTAGAGTTATTAACAATCCCTTAATATCTAGACTCACAATCCCTTTATAACTAGACTTACAATCTCTTTATAACTAGAATTACAATCCCTTTATAACTAGACTCACAATCTTTTTATAACTAGACTTACAATCCCTTTATAACAAGACTTACAATCCCATTATAACTAGACTCACAATCCCTTCATAACTAGACTCACAATCCCTTTATAACTAGACTCACAATCCCTTTATAACTAGTCTCATACTCCCTTTATAACTAGACTTACAATCTCTTTCTAACTAGAATTACAATCCCTTTATAACTAGACTTACAATCTCTTTATAACTAGAATTACAATCCCTTCATAACTAGACTCACAATCCCTTTATAACTAGACTCACAATGCCTTCATAACTAGACTCACAATCCCTTTATAACTAGACTCACAATTCCTTTATAACTATACTCACAATCTCTTTATAACTAGACTCACAATCCCTTTATAACTAGACTTACAATCTCTTTATAGCTAGACTCACAATCCCTTTATAACTAGACTCACAATCCCTTTTTAACTAAAGTCACAATCTCTTTATAACTAGACTCACAATCTCTTTATAACTAGACTCACAATCCCTTTATAACTAGAATTACAGTCTCTTTATAACTAGAATTACAATCCCTTTATAACTAGAATCACAATCCCTTTTTAACTAAAGTCACAATCTCTTTATAACTAGAATTACAATCCCTTTATAACTAGACTCACAATCCCTTTATAACTAGACTCACAATTCCTTTATAACTAGACTTACAATCCCTTTATAACTATAATTACAATCCCTTCATAACTAGAATTACAATCCCTTTATGATTAGACTCACAAACCCTGTATGACTATACTCACAATCCCTTTATAACTAGACTCACAATCCCTTTCTAACTATGCTTACAATCCCTTCATAACTAGACTCACAATCCCTTTGTAACTAAAGTCACAATCCCTTTATAACTAGACTCACAATCCCGTTATTAATAGACTTACAATACCGTTAAACATAGTAATCCGTTTATTACTTAATAATTTCTTCAAAACTAGACTCACAATCTTTTCATAACTTTACCTCACAATCTCTTTAATCTCTGAGGATAACTTACCTTTGGATCAATCTCCTGAACTTCATCCTCTATATCCTCTAGGATATTATCTGTCTTCTGCTCGCTGAGTTTAGCAAGCTCCTCTCTATCCAGGTACATCTGGACTAGATCCTCAATAGCTAGCCTCGGCTCCTCCTAGAACATAACAAATAATAAGAAATATAGATCTGAATAGGAAACCGATATGGAACCCACAGACCGCCTTCGGGGCGCAGCGCGTCAATATCCAGGGATAAAATCGTTTCAAACCCCCCTCTTTAAAATTAATTTCAATCCCTAAAAGTAATCTCTCATCTTCAAATCATTCAAAAAGCTTCCATCCCCCTTAAGAATCATCCCTCCCACTTTTACTTCATTTCATACCCTTCATAAATCATTTAAATCTTTTTTTAAATCACTTCCTTCCATCCAAAGGTATTTAAGTTCAAAATCATTTCAACAATCCTAATAACCCCCCTCCGGCCTTCCCCACCTCCCAAAATCTCCAAAAATCATTCGCCCTCATGTCAGCTGGGAATGAGGTGATTTATGCAAAACCTTTTAACCTTAATAAAAGGCATCTAAATTATAAATAAAAAAGTTGTTGAGCTGATTTTTACCCTGGAAACAGTCTTTAGTAAGAAGTTCAAACCCTTATGCAATTGTATAAAACTTTCGAGCTAGAATGTTAATTAAGTTAAATTCCGTAGTACTATTACATATTTCTGTTACTTAAACTTCTTTCGGATTAATTTGAGACATGTTAGACTTCTTAAAGATCTGTAAATCCTGAGTTTGAACGCAAATTCGACGTTCAAATCTCCTACTTTGGGGGTGGATACGTTTTCAGAATTCTAATTTTAATTATTAAATAACGACAACGAAAAATAAAGTAAAAATTATACAGTAATCTAATTAGATGGTTAGAAACATGTTTATTTAGAAGAAATTTGTAAATAAATCAATCCTAAAATCGATTATTTCGTTTTCATTATTATATAGAATTTCTTATTTTCTTTGAATTTATTCGCAGATTTCTTCAAATTCTTCAAATGTCGTCTTTTCAATAACAATTCTAGAAAATCTGCAGAAAATCTTTGTGAAAAATGAGAAACTAGAATAATGAGAAAATAGAAACTTATAATTGAACAAGATTACTTATTTTCGATGATAAGATTGGTTTTTATTTTCTCAGCCTGTTCCTATACATGAGGTCTGAAGTTTATTGTAGAACTTTTTTACATTTTATGTCGTCGTTATTTAATAATTAAAAAAAAACTAATTCTGAAAACGTATTCACCCCCAAATTAGGAGTTTTGAACGTCGAATTTGCGCTCAAACTAAGGATTTACAGATCTTTAAAAAGATTAATATGTCTGAAATGAATCCGAAAGAAGTTTTCCACAACACTGCATACTCAGTTTAACTACCTTACATAGCCGGTTACTCCCTTTAAGCAAAACCTAAGTAATTTAACTGTTAACAACAAAAACAAAGTGATTCAATTAAAAAATTATGCACATTTTTACATACATGCTTTCTTAGTTCTGCCGCAATAGAATTAATAAAAAAATGGTAAAATTTTGAAAGAATCAATTTTCTTATTTTCCAACCTTGACACAGAAGTTGAGTTCCTTCTGAGCTGCCATACTATCCATGAGAGTTTGTCTGTTCTCCATACAGTTCTCTACAAGGTTGATGAGGAGAGCAAGGGCCAGTACGAGGCTTTCAAACCGTTTACTCAGGGGAACAAACCAGAACGGGATTATAAACAGGCATCTTAGAGCTCGGCTCATCATTCCTAAGCAGTTAGGGAGTGTTCATTTATCTTAAAGGGACTGTAAGTATAATTTTCAGTGACCTTAACGAAGTGACCGGCAATGTATGGTAGTTGAACTGAGATTGCAGTATTATTGAGAAATTTTGTAGGATTCATTTGAGACCTATCAGACGTTTTACGGTGCATATTTGTTCAGCAAGAGCGTAAATGCAATCTATAAAATCCGATTGTGCATTTCGGAGGGATGATTTTAAGAATCAGTTTTATTTAAATTATTCAACGACGACCACGAAAACCGTAAGAACAAATTTTACAGTACACTAATTAGTTGTTTAGGAACAAGTTGAGAAAATAAAAATTAATTTTATCATCGAAAATAAGTAATCTTATTCAATTATTATTTTCTATAATCTCTCATTATTCATAAATATTTTCTGCAGATTTTCTGTAATTTTTATTGAAAAGACGACATTTGAAGATTTTGTTGAAATCTGCGAACAAATTCATAGAAAATAAAAAATTCAATATAATGATGAAAACGAAACAATTGATTCTAACATTGATTTATTGACAAACTTCTTTGAGAAATATGTTCCTAACATCTAATTAGTTTAAGTATAATTTTACTTTATTTTTCGTCATCGTCGTTATTTAATAATTTAAAAAAACGATTCTAAAAACGTACCAACCGAAATTCATGGTTTTGAACGTCGACTATGGTCTCGATCTCAGTAATTATACATCGTGGAAACGTTTTATATGTCTCAAATGAATCCTAAAGAATTTGTCCACAACACTGCATACTCAGTTTGACTACCTTACATAGCCGGACTGTCCCTTTAAAAAACAAATAAAAAACTGCACAAATCTGAAATACAAAACTGTTTATATACCTGTTTGCTGACCAACAATAAGGGAACCGCGGGCTTTCTTAGTATAATCATGAACTACATTTACATGGACCCTGAACCATAAATTGCCATTAAAAATATTTATCGATTAAAGGGTGTCCCAGTAAAAATGAAAATTAAGTGGAATGTCTTGGATATTGTTTCCAATGTACCCGACAATTTTATGTTAATAATTATAGTAATAATCAAGGTACTAATGCAAGGAAAGTTAATTGCGGTCGCGTATACTCTGCGTACATATTGAAACCAGTTCTCTTTGGGCGGACTTCGTAAACAAGAATAGATGCATCCAGTGTTCGTTCAATATCCAAGGAGGTTAAAAGTATTTAATTTTGATAATTTTGAAAATTCACATAATAGTTTCTTTCCTATGACCAGATCATTTCATAGATTATTTTTGTTAAAATGGATTCCATGTCAGGCTGTGACATCCGTCCGTGTTTACTTCTCCGCCCAAAGACAGTACACTGCAGTACAAAAAATGCGTACATCTCTGAAATAACTTTCCTTGCATTAGTACTTTGGTAATAATAATCTTAGATTTATGTTGCTTAATTATATTGAAGTTACCACACACAATTTAGGCTTGATTGCCGATCGGCACAAAGAAAAATTAAATATGATAGATGTAACAAAATCATACTAATGGTTTTCTATCTTCTTAGAATGCTGTTGGAATCAATAGAGTCGTAAATTTACAAGATAAAAGGAAGATACAATGTGAATGCTCAAAAGTTGCAATTTTTTTTAGCACAAGCCATATACATCTCAACACTTTTTAAATAAGGGGGGGGGGAATAAAATGTTAAAATGACAATTTTCCTTATTATACTGAAGAGTGCGTCCCGAATTATAACTCCTATAGATTCTTTATCTAAACAAATAAAACAATATTAATAATTCTTAAAGTTTAATTAACCAGAGATGGAACTCTTGTATTTAGATATCGAATCAATACTTGATCTCCATTCTTGGTTAATCTGCAGATTAATATAATCTTTATTTGATGTCAGCAGTGTAATTAAACCCTGAAAAATTACTGAAATGGAGATACTAAGCATTGATCCTGAAATAAAAAATGCCCACTGTGGATGTCGAGATCCAGCGATTAGGATTATTAGTATCCAACTCAGATAAGAGTTTCAATTCGACTATCCATGCCCGGTTCAACTACTTTCACTACTTATCAATTTTCTGACCTCTCTAAATCAACGAAGGGCTACAGTTGTAAAGTTAAAAACTTCAGTTCAGTTTTATTTAATGTAGGATTAAAGCAAGTATTTTCATGTGACCCTCCTTGCAAAGATAGCAATGCGTGATTTACAACAGTACCCTCGACAGCTATAGAATTGCGCGATTTACAACAGTACCCTTAACAGCTTTGTCTGATCAAGTATGAAATAGATATCCATGTTTTTACTGTTTATTCGTATTTGCGGTTTTTATACAACGGTGACTTGCGCATTTCTTGCTGTTAAGAAATAATGAAGAAATCCACAAAAATAAACACTTTTCGAGTCAGAAAAACAAAGTTATCTTCCACATTTTTATCAGATTATGATTTTTATTGGTATGGTTGTAAATCGGGCGTAGCTGTTTTCGCATGGAGGTTCACTTAAAATTACGACTCATTCCCTTCAGCCGAATTTATATATATTTATATTTACCTGAATTATCTGTTGTAGGATTGAGCTGAACTTCAGTATCTAGCAGAATAAACAACTTCTGAAGAATACTGATAAATTCCTGAAAATCAACCATACAGATATTGTTAATCGAAGAGTTGATTACTTGTCTCAAACTCTAATCTTTTAAGATAATTATACCTTTTTAGACGAAATGGCAAAGGCCTTTAATAATTCTTTAATCTATTCAATTTAAAGTTTGTTGTTAATGATGATCCAAACCTCGTAGAGTAAATAAAGTAAAAAAATTTCCACATTTAAAAAAAATATTTTTCGGCCTTCAGAATCGTTTTTATCATGAAAATTCTTGCTAGTCCAAATTGACCAAGTTTTTAATATCCAAGGTTTACACGATCAGGTTGAAAAGTTTAGAAAACTAGAATAAGAAGAGGGAAGAAGGAAGAAACTGACCTGATTCTCTATCCTATGACTGATTAAGTAGTTACAATTCTCTTCATTTTCATTGGATACATTCTCTAACACCCGCAGTATCCTGTAAAAAACATCATGCTACATACATTGGTAACCAGAAACAGTGGAATAATTGGCATTTAAAAATATTTTGTTTAATGCAATTTTGCTTTGAAGTAATAAGTAACGGTTTATCAAAATGTGCCCTAAGCTGGAAACTTTTGAATGGTGGATATCGGGATTAATGCTTGATCTCCTCTTTTTCTTAATCTCTAGAATAATTTACTGATCGGGATTAAGTATATCCCATTCTAAAGTTTCCAGCTCTGGACATTTTAAGAAACATATTTATGTATTTTTTAAGTTGAATAAAATTATCACTTTACCTGTTGGCTTTCTTGAGTTTGTCAGTGAGTTTTTCAGTCCAGGAGGTGATAGGTTTAATAGTCAGATAGTTAACACAATCACTAGAATATAGGTTTAATAGTCAGATAGTTAACACAATCACTAGAATATAGGTTTAATAGTCAGATAGTTAACACAATCACTAGAATATAGGTTTAGATATTTCACAAATCATTTACTTAAGCCGTGTCATAAACTAAAAACAATAATATAACTGAAAACAATAATATAACTAAAAACAATAATATAACTAAAAACAAGGATAAAATAATAATAACAAGAATAGTAATGATACCTGAAGGTTCTAGCAAGATGTCCCAGCCCTCCCAGCTCTCTAAGCTCCTCTTTAAACCACTCCCCAGCCCTCTTACTTGTCATTGACAACAAAGTTTCCATACTAAACAAAACCATAGCTTAGGTAAATTTAAGAATAATGGTTGATGAATTTTCTAAATGCAGCATTGTCTACGAATCAGTGTCAAGTTTAATCATACATTTTTAAATTCAAATCCTACCTTTTTTCCTTATTTAATATTCGTCTTTATTTTTCCAAAATTACTAAGTTTTGATATTTTCTTTTTTTTTATTGGGAAAAATGTAAAATTTTAAAAACAGTTTTATCCGTTTGAAAAAAGTTTGTTAACATTAAAAACCCGACAACCGTGTACCTCAAATGATCAGCAGATATGAGATCCAGGTTTAAACTTTGCGCATGCCCCATAGTTTTCATCTCAGCGCAGATATCTATAACCTTAAATGGGAAGAATAGGTTTAATTCGGAAGGTTTAGCACCAGGGGCGTAAATAAGAATTTTCTAGGGGGGGGGGAGGGGTTAAATGAACTTTATTCTCTTATTCAACAAATAAGATGTGAAAACTTAGATTCTAAAATAATTTAGCAGTTAGTTTAGACTTCATAAGATAATATTGCTTTCAGTGATTTATTTTGTAAGTTATGAAAATGAGTTTTGTTTTGAATTGCGGATTATACTCAAAAACGAGAAAGTGGGTTTTGTCTCGAAAAACAGACAAGAATGATCAAGGGTTTTAACATAAAAAGAACTCCTTTTATAATTTAAATTCCAGAAAATAGCTTACAATTCTGAATTGTTGTCCTTGTGATGCTTGATAAAATGTTGGTTATAGTTTTTATTACTGACTTTTACTCCCAATATGGGCCGGAATCCTAAAACCAGTTTTTGAATTTGTGCCCATTTCTAACGCTCAGTGTTAGAAATGGGCCAAGTGTTATTTTTTAAACTAATATTCCATGAAATTCTGAAATTTTACACAAAGAAAATACACCTTTTTGTTGTATGTAGTTTTGAGATTCTTTATTGAGTGGGTGGGGAAAAAACTAAAATCGTAATTTACGTCAAGAGACGTGTAAACGGTGGGACTAACTATGACTCCCCTGGTCCACGATGGGTTTCCAATCTAGTATTTAAATATAGTAAAACAGTGTTGTCATGAATGATAATTTTACCTTCTGTTTATTTTTCTCCAGTTCTTTTTTATCCATCCCAGTGCCTTCCAGAGCAGATCCTATCTTACAATCTGTATCCAGTAGGTTCAACATCAATTTCAAGGAATCCCTGGAATAAAACCATATTAAAGGTTCAACATCAATTTCAAGGAATCCCTGGAATAAAACCATATTAGGTTCAACATCAATTTCAAGGAATCCCTGGAATAAAACCATATTATAGGTTCAATATCAACTCCAAGGAATAACTGGAATAAAACCATATTATAGGTTCAATATCAATTTCAAGGAATCCCTGGAATAAAACCATATTATAGGTTCAATATCAACTCCAAGGAATCCCTGAAATAAAACCATACTAAAGGTTCAACATCAATTTCAAGGAATCCCTGGAATGAAACCATATTATAGGTTCAACATCAACTCCAAGGAATCCCTGGAATAGAACCATATTAAAGGTTCAATATTAACTCCAAGGAATCCCTGGAATAAAACCATATTATAGGTTCAATATTAACTCCAAGGAACCCCTGGAGTAACACCATATTATAGGTTCAATATTAACTCCAAGGAATCCCTGGAATAAAACCATATTATAGGTTCAATATAAACTCCAAGGAACCCCTGGAGTAACACCAAATTAAAGGGACTGCAGGCGTGATATAGCGTGACCCTACGGCCTACATAGATAGTGGTATGTCCGATCCAAGAATAAAAGAATCTCGTATTATTTTCTTTGANAAAAAAACATCCATGTTGAATGTATCCATATCCATATTGAATATTTATCTATTATATCCATTTTGAAAATCTACCTATCTATATTCATATTAAATATCTTCCCATCCATAGGCATTTAAAATATTTACCTGTCCATATCCATTTTGAATATCTATAATAATCTATATCCATAATAAATATTCACCTAGCTGTGCGTATCCATATTGATTTTTACTTATCCATGTCCGTTTTGAATATCTACCTATCTATATCCATATTGAAAATTTACCTATCCATAACCATATTTAAAATTTACCTATCCATATCCATATTTAAAATTTACCTATCCATATCCATATTGAAAATTTACCTATCCATATCCATATTGAAAATTTACCAATCCATATCCATATTGAAAATTTACCTATCCAAATTCATATTGAAAATTTACCTAACCATATCAATATTGAAAATTTACCTATCCAAATCCATATTGAAAATTTACCTATCCATATCCATATTGAAAATTTACCTATCCATATCCATATTGAAAATTTACCTATCCAAATCCATATTTAAAATTTACCTATCCATATCCATATTGAATTCTTACCTATCCATATCCATATTGAAAATTTACCTATCCATATTGAAAATTTACCTATCCATATCCATATTGAAAATTTACCTATCCATATCCATATTGAATTCTTACCTATCCATATCCATATTAAGTCTGTCTTGAGAAAGCACAAATAAGACTGTAGATGCACACAACGCTAAACTAGGATTCTGAGGCGCATCCTGAAAAAAATTGTCTAAAAAATGTTGATAAATGTTGACTGGTGTCAGCAAATGGATGTAATGGTGTGTAAACCAAACCAGCTTAACCGTTTAAAGGTGTATAAAAATATATTTTTTTAATAAGCAGGGTAAATTCAAAAAAATTCAATTGTTTGTTAGTATTTTAAAACTTGTGATATTTGTAAATGACGCAAAAGTTTGTAAATGTTTGTAAACGTATGCAAATGTTAGAAATTGTTAAAAATGTTTAAAATTGTTTAAGACAGTTGAAATGTTTGATGTTTGATATTGTTTGGAAATGTTTGAGAACGTTGTAAATGTTTGTAAAATTTAGTAAACGTTATAAAATGTTAGAATACGTAACTCGACCCGTCAGCATGAGATTATAGTCTTAGATTAGGGTGTCATAAATATAATATAAATATACCAACCTGTAGTTCTGCAAAGAACCGAGTGACAACACTGTGTGCTCGTAAATGCATTCTGAAGCTAGGTTTCATGCACTTGCTGGCCAGGGAGATTGCCGTCAGACACCTTGAGACAAATATAATTCTTAGATAAACCTTTTCTTCTTGCTTGGCCTTGTTTTTTAACAATGAGTGACTTTGACTTCAAATGATTTTGACAAATGACCTTAAATTTGACCATAACCGTTATCATACCATTTACATGAGCATGTCTAATTGGCCAATGGCCATGACAGTGTCCGTGACCATGACAAAGACATACACCATGGTTATGCGTATGGTCATGAGCATAACAGTGACCATGAACGTGACAGTAACTATGCCATGAAAATGATCATTCACCATGACCATGACCCTTCTCACCTTAAAAATGCCCTTCAATTGACCTTTAATTAACCAGATTCGAGCTTTTTCAGATCTTGCGTTACACTTGAACTTTTACCTTATTTGAGTCAACCTTTAATGGAGCTTAACTTGACCTTATCATGACCTCGAGATGACCTACCTGAGAGAAACCGCATGCCGGACATTTAATCCATCAACAATATAATCGACATCGTCGTGGAACTCCTACAAATGAAATATAAAGTCAAATTAAAGGGACTGTAGACGTAATTTCAGGGGATCCGCAATTTGTAAAGTGGCATGTCCAATCCACATCGGTACCCTTGAATAAACCTTTGTCAGACCAAAGATGACGAAGAAAAGATGTCCTTACTCCTGAAAATTAAGTGCCGAGAAGCTTATGGTAACAGAGTGCACTCCAGGTACTAAATTTATAGTTATAAAAATCCTTGATTATACAAAAGGTTCCATAATGGAGAGTCACTTGAAGTTCAAATTTCCTCTACAGACCCTTTAACTGGTTCTTTTATTAAACAAAATCAATAAAGAAATGTATGAAGATTAGTTTCATATAACCAGAGTGCTTTCCTCAAGTCCATATAGCTTTGCAACCGGGCAGTTTGCAAACATTATAAGATCAGATGTTTCAAAAATTCTTGTTTCATACAAAAACAGAATAATCATATACTTGTATTTGGCCATTTTGAGTTGGGTTGACGTAAATTTTTTTTGGGTAATTTTGACTGGTTAAGTTTGTTACCTGGTTTTCTCCATAGTCGTTGATCTCGTGAGCTTTCTTAACCTTCTTGATGACCGTGAAGTAGGACTTGTAAGACTTCGGGCACTTGACCTGGGTCACCAACTCACCTTCATCATCTAGAATAACAGGGGTTTATAATTCATCATCTAGAATACCAGGGGTTTATATTTTTATCATCTAGAATACCAGGGGTTTATATTTTCATCATCTAGAATACCACGGGTATATATTTTCATCATCTAAAATACCAGGGGTGTATATTTTCCTCATCTAGAATACCAGGGGTGTATATTTTCATCATCTAGAATACCACGGGTATATATTTTCATCGTCTAGAATACCAGGGGTATATTTTTTCCTCATCTAGAATACCAGGGGTATATATTTTCATCATATAAAATACCATGGGTGTATATTTTAATCATCTAGAATACCAGGGGTGTATATTTTCATCATCTAGAATACCAGGGGTGTATATTTTCATCATCTAGAATACCACGGGTATATATTTTCATCGTTTAGAATAGCAGGGGTGTATATTTTCATCATCTAGAATACCAGGGGTGTATATGTTATCATCTAGAATACCAGGGGTGTATATTTTCATCATCTAGAATACCAAGGGTGTATACTGTATATGTTCATCATCTAGAATACCAGGGGTATTTATTTTCTTGCACGGAGCGTAAAATCTATTTTTTAGATTTTTGCTTGGTTGCTTGCTAATTGATGTCCAATTTTTCAGTCTCTTCTCATATCTCTTGATTACGAGGGGCTGAGTAATTAATAAACACAATACCCACAAGTCGATTTGACGTCATCAACGGGGATAAGTAGAAATTATTGTTGTGTTTAAAATTCTACGTTTATTTGATACAAATCAAACGGACAGACAGACAGACAGATTAAAAGTACATTACGAACCTATGTTAGTCTCCATGGTGGGGTAGGTGGCAACCCTGGTCAGCTTACTCGGGGCAAAGGAGATATCGCCAATAGAGGCAATAGGTTCACTCTCAGTATTCCTAGTCAGATTCATTAATAAATTGTGTTTTAGTTGATTCAGTCGTTGAAAATTAATAGATAATTTGTAACTTCAAGTGACCCTCCATTTACAAATAGGCTGGGTCCAATTCACTGAATTACTATTTAAATGTGTAAGATATATTCCTTTTCAAGCCTGAAATGTGTTGAATTCTAACACTTTCTTCCTTTATTTCTGCAACAAAAAGCCGCAAGTCACTTGTAGACAAGCAACAATTGAACAAAGTACTATTTTCAAAGAGAAAAACGTGGATATCTTAAGCTAAAACCTTCCCAGGCACCATTGTAAATTGTACAAGGATTATTATGCCATCTTTAGATAAGACATCTAACCCCCCCCCCCAAATCTTAGAGAGCCCAGACCGCCATCTATAAATGAAGGATTACATGAAAGTACATCTACATTCTACTCTAAAGTTACTTTTGTGTCGTGACAATTTGTTTTTAACCCGGAATTAATGAGAATTGCTTTCAACCTCATCTAGTGGACATTTATTAAACTAATACCTATCTTCCTCTTCGTCCTCCTCATTAAAGTCCAAAGACTCTGCCTTGTTTTCCGGTTTCTTCACTTCCCCAGCCCAACCAACATTGTGTCGGTACAACGACAATGCCTTTCCAGCCGGCTTGCCCAGTTTACTTTTAAAGAAGGTTTTCTTCCCTCTCCCCTCGGCGATAGGTTTGGGTTGAGAAGCGGTTTTAAGAGGAAGCCTGGCGGGAAAATCCATTTCATCATCGTCCACAAGCGGTTCAAGGGAGTACAAGTTGCCCGGGGAGGGAGGGGGAAGGGTTTCTTGGGAAGATGGTAGGTCCGGGGTAGACATCTCAGCAAGAGAAAACTCTGATGCCTTCCCAGCCGGCTTGCTCAGTTTACTTTTAAAAAATGTTTTCTTCCCTCTCCCCTCGGCGATAGGTTTGGGTTGAGAGGCGGTTTTAAGGGGAAGCCTGGCGGGGAAATCCATGTCGTCATCGCCCTCCGGCAGTTCAATGGAGTACAAGTTGGCCGGGGAGGGAGGGGGAAGGGTTTCTTGTGAAGATGTTAGGTCCGGGGTAGTCAACTCAGCAAGAGAAAACTCAGATTTTTCAACTTTAAGTTTTTCTACGACTGGGTCTCTTATCTCGACTTTCTTTCTCTTAGATGTTCGTACTGGGAAATCATCTTCTTCAAGGATTTGATTGATGTTAATTGCCGGAGTTTTAGAGGGCTTACTTCGCGGTATATCTACAAAATGGTCGGAGACAGGTGGGACACGTGGCGGTTCTAAAATTGCGTCCTTTTGAGAACTTTTATTGTCTAATATTGCAGGTTTCTCAAGATTAGGCTTGGATCGGCTTTTAAAGATTGTTTTCTTGTAGGTTGCAGGCCGTGCTTCTGTTTTTACGACGGCTGCTTTCCGCTTTGGAAAGTCGAGATCAAAGTCCGGAGAGGAAACCCGGACTTCCGGCAGAACACGTTTCTCCTTTTTAACTGGTTTTCTTTTGGGAACTTCCGACTGAGAAACTTTCTCCTCTTTAACCTTTAGATCCGCCGGAGGTGACGGTTTCCTCACTAACTTTTCCCTCCTAGACACCGGAACTTTCCGCTTGGGAAATTCGATTTCCGGATCGGGAGACATGGATCGGGTTAATTCCAGTTCAGGTTCAGGTACAAGTTTTCCAGTCTTTGGTCTTCTATTCCTCTTGCTCGGGGGACTGGCTGGGGGTGGGCTGACTGGAGGACTAGCTGCTGGGGGTGTAGGACTAGGTGGTGTGGGGATAATAGGGGCTGAGAAGGGGTATGGTTTGATCGGTTCATCGTAATACGGATTCCTGTTATCAAAAAACCCAAATTAAAGAAAAAAAGTAAACGCTTTTAAAATGAAAAATTTAAAAATTTTCTGCAAATCCTTTTTAAACAAACCAATCACATTTTATCATTGGAAAAGCGAGGATATAAGATCCAAGCCTGGAAAATAATACATGGACATGACCTTGTGGACAAAAACAAATGGTTCAGCTCTGCGTATGTACCAGAAGAAGGAAGTGGTATTAAAACTAGGCAGTCAAGTGATGCTTTAAACTTGAAAGTTCCAGCTGTAAAGACTGCCATATACGGTATTTTTTTTAGCACAAGATGCGTTAATGTGGAATTAATTTCCACAAGATGTGAGAAATGCAAAAAACCTGATATTTTCAAGAATAAACTGGATGAATGGCTAAACTACTAAATGGCCAACATAAACTGAAGATCGAGATGTTTTAATTATCACATCAGTGATACAACAACATAAATACTCCCGATTAAACCAATTAAACCAATTCAATCCTTTTCGAACAGAACATTCAATATATTTTTTCCTGGAAACGTATTTTTGAACCCACCAATTCAAATAACGTTAAGGTTTTTTTGTTTTTATAAATTTGAGTTTCCTTTTTGTATGTTTATGAAATCCATTGGATAGATTTGAGTGATCTGTTCTGTCACTTTCAGCTTCACTCGGAATCTCAGAGCCTAGAAAATGATGAAAATTAGCACTGCGTGGTCTCTGAATCTAAATGGATGTGAAGCAAGGGTCCACTTGTGATCCTACTTTATCATTGGCATACCCCAATCCTTTGTTAAAAAAAACCTTGATTTAGTATCAATAAAAAGGTGTTACACAGGAATAAAGTCCTTGCAACAGTCTCTGATCCCTATATCTTTGCTCCCTGATGTGTTTTTAATATTTCAACCTATGCATACTTTTAACTCTATAAGTTTAAATAGTTCAGGTGCTCAGGAGGATCAGGAGGGTATATTTTTTGAATTGAAAAAAAAACCAAGGAACATCAAGGCAAGTTCTTTCATTCTTTTAATACGCTATATCCAAAAACCATTCCCCCCCCCCCCCCTAAACTATTGTTTTCCCAATTCAGCGAAAAATTATTTTTAAAGAAAATACATATATCCCTGCAGGTATAAGGAAGGTTGAAACAAAGTCCGATAAAAAGGTAGGAAAATGTTTTTTTTTACAATTGTTAAAATGAGACTTTAATGATATATATCCATTTAGGTTAGTTAAGTTTTTGGATGTGTATCTTAAATAACAAAAAAGTTATGGGCAATGGGAATTTTTAGATTTTTTAAACAGGGGGTTTCACCGCCCTGAACCTTACCCTATTTTGTTTGTGTGCAAAAATTCCATTAAATTACTGTTTATTAAAAGTAAAAATGCATGTAACAAATGATAGTGCTAGTGCTCGTTTAGGGTTTTTTAGATATTAAAATATAGAAGATTTAGTGTTTACACTATCAAGTTTCAAAGATATAGGAGTTAAAAAAATTTGAGTTTGTGGCAATTTCGAACTCAGTTCTTTTATCCCCTGATGTTATCTTTATGTATTTCTGCAACAACAGTATGCCAGAGTCAGAACTAAGTTAAGAAAATTATTGGGACTGAATGAGAATATTTCAAAAATTAACGTTAAATTTTCATACCTAATGAACTTTGACTGGTTACACTCAGCAGGTCGTCTTCTTTGTTTTTAACAACCTAAAGCAAAATAGAATAAATATAATAAACTACATCTTAAAAATAGAAAAGAAATAAATACTAACTTTGTATGTGCTGTCAATCTTGTCTGGGGACTTATTGAGGCTTAGCTTCAGTTTGAGAGGGGGTAGAGAGCCCTCGCCACTTCTCCCCTCTTCAACATCAATCCTTCTTCGTTTCACTTCCCGTTCATCGTCTAGTCGTCGTTTCTCATCCAGCCTTCTTTTCTCCTCTTTTCGTTCCATCTCTTCTTCTCTCCTCTTCTCTTCTAATCTTTTCCTATCTTCCCTGCGCTTCTCATCCTCAATTTTTTTTCTTTCTTCCTCGATTCTTTTCCTCTCCTCCTTCCTTCGCTCTTCTTCCATTTTTCTTCCTTCCTCTTTCTTTCTCTCCGCTTCGACTTTCAGATCATTTTCCCGTCTGGATTTACGCTGCGGCTCCGCATGAGTTTGAAAGAGAGCGTCAAACTCAGAAACTTTCTCCTTATTGGTGGAAACAAACTGATTCAACAATATGTTCAAGATTTTTGTAAATATTATATCAATACTTAACGGAGTTAGCTAATCAATCTTTCAAGCAACCTACCTTGTCCTAGGAGGAGTAGTTGACGGATTACTCGTCGGAGGCGAAGTATGTTGAGGGGAGGGGTGCAAAGGGAAAGGGTGAAGGGGGGACCTCTCCAGGGGTGGCTTCACCCTACTAACCCCCGACTTAGATTCAATAATTTTATCTTTCTTTCTTGGTTCTGGTAAAGTCTCCTTTAAATTCTTCTCAACTAGTTTGCTGGAGGAATCAGGATTTAAACTCTCCTGAAATATTTATTTAAAGAGAGTGTTCGCTATATAATTAGAGGATTTTATAAAATAATGAGTCTGTCAAATTTTTATCTAAAATTACACTATTAAATTGAACCTGTACTGTTATTGTATTTTTGTACTTAAACATCAGACAGAAATAAAAATACATGGGTGTGTATTTTCATCCCCCCCCCCTCTTAAAAATAATTCTAACCCCCAGAATTTAGGTACATTATAAGGGTTTTATTCGCGGAATTGGGGAAAATAAATAATTTTTTTTGAAAAGAGGGAAAATTGATGATAAAACCTTGCGTTTTGATGTCCACTTTATTATTTTTTCCCCTCAACTTTCAAAACCTTTCAAAAATAAAAAAAACCTGTGGAAACACCAGATGGAAATAAAAAAATTTATTTGGCTTTAAGAGGTCACAACAATAAACATAATAAACAATAATTACAAAGCTGGGTATCGTTATTGATCTCATTTTTTTTTGACAATTTTCGCTTGAATTCTTGATTTGTTTCATTTCTCATTTATAAATAAGAATATGTTTGCCACCACTTTGTTTCGTTTTGATTCAGATATTTTTCATATTTTTCAATTGAAGCTTTATTTTTGAGTTCTAGATAAAAATTGTTTCAGAAATCTTATATTTAGAATTTTTTACCTTGTTTTCTGAATTCTCAGCTCTTGATTTGAAGAACTTTTTAGGCTTAGGTGCTCCACTCGGTTTTTCGCCTATACGAGAAAAAAAATTGATGATCTCCTTGGAAGATCCCCCCCTCCCATCTTCCTATTCATATGTGCAACCTCAATCATTCTTTCTATTTATCGATCTTAAACTGAACTGAAAAATGTGTGAAAATCTAACAAAGATAATTCTGATATCAATCAATTCGAAAATTAAAATTGTGTATTGAACATTTATTTATTGCTGATTTTTTATCTCATTTTCTTCTGATTTTCCATTTTTTATTTCAAACTCTTTCAGAACCTTTTTATTGTTTTGATTTCTGAACTTTTTTTTGCGTTATATTTCTAACTTTATAATAAATGGTTATTCGAGATCTTGCAAGTTTATTGGTTAAATCTGTTCTTAAACATCGAAAAATAATTCTTGCTTTTTTTTCAGTAATTTTTTTTTTTTAATTTTAGCTTATATTAAAGATTCTCACCACTATGTTAATAGTACGAAAATGATAATTTCTATATAACAATTGAACATGTTTACAAAAATCTCAAATATTTAATTCTGTAAAAGGTAATTACTGATAAACCAGCAAAAGCATTGCAATATTAGATTTTTCAGATGAATATAAATCATTGTATTCTGAAATTAGAAAACAAAATATTTTTTTTTTGCTATTTACTGTTTGTCTTAATTAGATCACTTTATGTTTCCAAAGCACTTCTCGTGCTTAAAGGTGAAAAAATAAAAAAAAGGAAGTTCTAGAAATCTTTACCTGTTGAACGAACAGAAGTAAAAGAAGTTGTTCCCCATTTTCCAACAATTCCTGAGTATCAGAATACTATATAGCAAGAAACTTGGAAAGAAGTCTTACCAAGGAGGGAGGGGGCGATGAAGGCTCAGCCCCACCCAGGTTAGTGAAATCTAAAATTTCCATGGGGTTTGGGGGCATAAATTTTCCTTAACTTTGTAATCCATTGAACGTGTTAAAAAAAGGAAGAAAAGGATTGCACATTAAGTCACAGCAGCGGGGAAAAGGGTTGCAATGAAATTCATGAAATTACAAATTCATGATTAGTAAAAACATTAAATAGAAACCTGCAGATTTAGCTGCTACTGGTTTATTACACTGTTCCTGCATCATCCTAAACAATGTGAGATTATTTTTATGAGTTTTCCTCTACTTCTCCCCCATAACTATTAAATTAGCAAAAAGGGATCAAGTGTAACCCCGCAGCAGCGCTCGGCACTCTAGCCTGCACTATAGCCGCAGCGCTCAGTCCAGATTGCATTAACCTAATTAAATCCTAACATAATCATAATAAAATCTATTAATTCGCTGTGGAAGCTCAGATTTAGTATACTTTTTTTCAACTACTCAAGGAACTCAAGTCACTCATGGGCCGGAAAAATAGTAGTTACGATTTAGATTAATTGCCGGCTCAATCCTGGAGAAAGATTTTTTGATCCTCTAGCTCCCCCGCATTAAAAAATTGTACATGAAGTACTTAAAATATCATTCCAGAATTAGGTTAAGTTAAGACAATTTTTAGGCCAAGCGCAGCGGCTAGGACAGACTAATTAGACCGGGCGCTGCGGCCGCATACTAATAGTCAGTCTTCAGGTAGATTAATATAGATTTTAAACTTTATTTTTTCTTAATACCGGTTTTTTGGGGGGTGCACAAAAAAAATTTCGGCACGCTTACGCGCGGCAAAAGTGCACCCACCTACGCGCCTGGGTAGTTACAATCCTGGAGAAAGATTTAGGTTAGTTAAGAGAAGTTTTAGGCCAAGCGCAGCGGCTAGGACAGACTACGAGGCGCTGCGGCCGGAATTCATACATTAACTTCTCAAAGCTATTGGGTCCTTCCAAAAATACGATTTTTGGACCCCCCTTCCCCTCCTAACAATTTTGTACATAACCAATTATTTTTCAGCAAAATTGTTATTATTGCTTTCTTTATTATTTTAGGGTTAGGCTAGATTAAGAAAATTAATGGGCCGAGAGCTGCAGCTATGACAGGTAAGGGGGGCCGAGCGCTGCGGCAATGAAAGGCTAGGGGGCCGGGCCCTGCGGCCACATGATCAATTATATCCATGTGTTACAAATGAGATTCATGTACAAAATTGATAGGAGGGGGGGAAGGAGGTCCAATAATCGTTGTCTAAGAAATTACCAAGCAATTACCTAATTTCCCATGATTAAATAAATACTAACCTATCGAAGGGGTTCCCTCCCTTCCCTCCCCCCTTCTTAGATACACGACCTTTCAGAGACATTTTAAATTCTTGTTTTCAACATTTTAGTAAAATCTGAAAAGTTTTATTTACATCGATTGTGAGTTTTAATTTATGTACAAATAATCCAACAGCAGCAGTGATCTTAATGTACATATTTGTATGGGGTTGGCGCAAAGGCGCAACTTAAGCTGAACAACTTTGTACAATTTTCAGGTACGCCAATGTGCATCATATTGCGTAAACATGTAACGAATCACTTAAAATGTTGTTTTATAAACGGGGGAGGGGGGAAATAACATTGCCCCGTAAAATTAAAATATTTGACATAGGTTCAGTATCGGAGCTAGGCTAGCGTAGCTTACAGCTGTTAAATTAGCAGCTTCATTGAGCTGCAGTTGTTAAAGTCAAAGCTGTCTCATTGCTTGCAGCTCACCAGTAATCTAAGCTTTATTTAAAAGAGTTTACAATTATAATATTTTTAAGGATAATTTAAGCATCAAAACGATTTAATGTAGTTTAATCGTTACGTAATATTAATTTCTAGCTGTCATCCTGCAGTTGCATAAAAGCTGTGACAGCATTAAAACGCCTAAATTACAATGCCGTTAACTTTATTTTTAATTTGAAAAAAAAACAACCACCGTCCACACATGTCCAAATTTTTGATTATTAAATGATGTGAGCTGTCGAACAAGAGAAAAAGATTTATTTCTGAGATAAAATCTAAAGATTTTACTTTTTCTTCATGGATATTTCAGCTAAATTTTGTCATGTTCAATCGAATTATTAGGAATTTATTTATTTACTTCATTTTACTTACCAAATCCAATTTTTTATCTTAAGATTTATCCTTTCTATTTTTTTCAGAGATATGTGAATATGTGAATTAGAAGAGCAAAATTATTATTGTTGTTTTAATCTGAAAAATATCGCCATGAGTGGGATACCTATCTCTAAATCTGGTCCCAAACAGAGCTTGAATCAGATTGCCACAGCAACAGGTTGGAATTTTATTAACTCATTGGTGAAAATATAGTATTAAAAATCGTTCTCACCAAGGAACATCCTTCAGACTCTTCAGACAGTAATGTAATTCTTACGAACAAAGAGTTTTGACCTATGAATTGTTAATAAACTGAAAGGATTTTAAGTTGAACAGAAATATCCCCTAAAGTAGCAGACATTTCTCACCGAATACGAAAATAATTTTTATGAAAAGTTTGAATTTATCGATCGAAGGACCATGACCTTAGAAATAAAGATATGTTTGAGTAAAAGAAAGGTTTATAGGAATAAAAAATAACCCTTGAGAAAATCAGATTTTTTTTCTCCAGATATAAAATGTCGCGAAGTATTTTGCTCTTTGTAATTGTTGTACGATTAATATTTATCTAAAAAATGTTCACTGCGCTTTATTGGAGATTTAGAAATTTTAAAATTCTGTACGTATTATATATTTAAAGAAATATAGATTAAAAACACTCCACTTTTTCCTGTGATCCACTGTATGTGAAACCTAGGATCTGAGATTGACAAGTTAGCTGGCAGAAAACTACAACGTGATTCCTCCACGCTTTCTACATCCTCCATTCCTGTCTCTAAACATCCAGAAGTTTTTAAGGTTAGTTTAAGTGAGGTTTTTAAGGTTAGTTTAAGTACTCTAGAAGTTTTTAAGGTTAGTTTAAGCTCTCCAGAGGTTTCTAGGTAAGTTTAAACCCTCCAGAGGTTTTTAAGGTTAGTTTAAGCTCTCCAGAGGTTTTAGGGTTAGTTTAAGCTCTCCAGAGGTTTTTAAGGTTAGTTTAAGCTCTCCAGAGGTTTTAAAGTTAGTTTAAGCTCTCCAGAGGTTTTAAAGTTAGTTTAAGCTCTCCAGAGGTTTTAAAGTTAGTTTCAGTACTCCAGAGGTTTTTAAGTTTAGTTTAAACCCTCCAGAGGGGGTTTTAGTTAATTAAAACCCTCTAGAGGTTTTTAAGGTTAGTTTAAACCCTCCACAGGTTTTCAAGGTTGTTTAAGCTCTCCAGAGGTTTTTGGGTTAGTTTTAACGCCTTTACAGGTTTTTAAGGTTATTTTAAGCTCTCCAGAGGTTTCTGGGTTAGTTTAAACCCTCCAGAGGTTTTAAATGTTAGTTTAAGCCCTTCAGAGGTTTTTAAGGTTATAGTTTAAACCCTTTAGAGGTTCTAAGGTTAGTTTAAATACTTTAGTGGTTTTTATGGTTAGGTTAAACCCTTAAGAGGTTCTACAGGTTTGAATAACTCTCCAGAGGTTTTGTAATATAGTTAAAACCTACGGAAGTATTGTAATTTAAAGCAAAAAATGTTCAATACATAAGTATGTTGTTCTACAGTAAAAACCAAAACCTTTGTTTAATGAGTTGTATTTTATAAGTATTTATCTTGTGACTGGGTGATAAATTCATATCTAAATTTATATATTTTCATTGATTTTCTTTACCCTTCACCTTAACTTTCTTATCTTACACATATTTAAAATTTTTGTTTTTTTTTAGGTCGGTGACCGTGTTTGGGTCGGGGGCACAAAACAAGGAACTGTTAGGTTAGCTCTTAAACATATTAATATTTTCAATATGTAATTATCTCTGCTGAACTGTTCTAACAAACTCTAAACCTTAAAAGTTACTAAAATAATAGAAAACTTTAATAAAACACAAGTTAAAGTAAACCTCGCAAAAAAGAGAATTTTTAAAATAGGCCATTTGCCATCATGAATTTATTTCATCAATTTCCATATATATTGGACAAACTAAATTTATCAATTTCCATATATATTTTGGACCTCGACTGACAATTAACCAGAAATTCTATTATTTCCCATTAAAATCATTTCTCCCACTTCAGTGATAAAAAAGACTGCATCGCTAATATACTGGGAAGAGGAAAAAATGGGAAAGGGAGGAAGGGAAAGAATTGATTTAAACAAAATATAAATACTTAAAGGGACTGTTAGCGTAACTTTAAGTGACCCTCCATGTAATAATGGCATTCATAGATTCACAACGGGTTTTCTTGGTCGAAAAATAATTGATTCTATTAATTTCTATGTGTTTTACTGGAGTAGAAATGCGTAAGTCACTTTCAGACAAAGCTTTTAAGGCGTTGTTGTAGATGAGGTATTGCCATCTTTGCATTGAGGGTCATTTGAAATTACGTTAACAGTCCCTTTATATGATTAAAATGCAAATTAAAGGAAAGAATGATGGAAGTGTCGGTACTGAAAGATATTTCACCTGTGCAGAAAATTATGGAGTTTTTTCAAGGTGATTGGTTTGTTGATTTTTTTTATTAATTATTTTTAATTTTATCTGTTAAGCTGTCAAAAATATATTGAAAGTTCAAATTTTGTTTCGATTTTATAGATAATAAACAATGAAAAAACATTTTGCCAAAAAGGAGTAAAAAAATTATTTCGGATATCTTAGAAAAGATCTAACAATATTGTTTCGAGTACAGTAAACTGTACACTTCAGACTGTACACATACACTAACACTGTACAAGGAACAGAAGCAATTTATTCCCAACTTAAACTGTTTTAGATGTAATCGTCTTAGTCGAAAACAATCTGTTGTTGCTCAGGAAACACAGGTAAAACTATGTTTTTTTACTTGGAAAAAATTAAAATTTAAAATTTCTAAGAAAATACAAGTACAATACAAGTATTCATGAGGGTACACTGTATGTAGAATGCTAAGAATTGATGACAACTAACATTGGATGGATATCTTCTCTGACTGTACCCTCTTTTTGATATTTTTTACTGAATAATTCATTATTTTCACGTAACCTCTTAACTCGGCTTATTTTACTTTACAAATGTCCTTAAAAGATATAGAAAGGACTCCGCTTTCGAAAGTAATAATACCAAAAATTGTTCATCTTATTATTCAGTCATCAAGCATCCGAAAATTCAGCAGTGGCACCTCGGCCTCTAATCCTCCTGGAGGATCTCTGGAGGCCAGGGGAGGATCCCTAGAGCCTAGGGGGTCAACCTCGCCTACACTTTCACCTGCTGAGTCTACTACCAGGTAGAATACAATACTCAATACTCATCCACGTCAGAAATAAATTTTTAATCATGCGCTGGGAGCCTGCAAACTTTGAAATAGGACGACTCAAGTTATGATTTTGAATAGTCCTATGAACATAAGTCACAGCATTCGTATAGGTACAGAGCAGGGGTGTAATTTATTTTGGTTTTCACTTTTATTTTGCTGATTTGGGTAAAATCATGAAGTTTAGGGGAAAGTAATTGAGTTTTTGGGTTAAAAGTATGAAAAAGAATGAAAAAAATCTGCTTTTTGATGTCCCAATTTTAATTCCCCCCCCCCAATCTCCAATTCTGAATACACCCATGGTTCACAGAACCATTTCACTGTTACTGTTAAAACTGTTTGTCTTTATACTACATCAATTCCGCACAAGATTCTTTAATCCAAGGTTATAATGCAAGGAAAGTTATTTCAGAGGTTTACGCATTTTTTGTACTGCAGTGTACTGTCTCTGGGCGGTAATGTAAACACAAGACGTATGTCGAAGCCTGACATGGGATCCATCTTTTATATAAAAAGTCAATGAAATATTCTGGTCATAGGAAACTATTATATGAATTATCAAAATTATCAATACTTAATGCTTTTAACCTCCTCGGATACTAAACGAACACTGATGCATCTATTCTTGTTTATAAATTCCGCCCAGAGAGAACTGGTTTCAATATGTACGCAGAGTATACGCAACTGAAACTAACTTTCCTTGCATTATAACCTTGCTTTAATCCGTCTTCATTTCTACAGCTTCAATAAACAGGGTTACCCACAATGGATAAGACTGTAAAGACGACCGGAAACTCTGTAAATCTGAAGATTCCAAGGTTAAATTAGGTCTTCTGTCTTGAATATAATCTTTTTATGGCTTTAGGGGGTCAACCTCGCCTACACTTTCACCTGCTGAGTCTACTACCAGGTAGAACACAATACTTATCCAGTTTCCACGTCAGAGATAAATTTTTAATCATGCCGTGGGAGCCAGCAAACTTTGAAATAGGCAGAGTACTGTAAGACTCAAGTTATGATTTTGAATAGTCCTATGAATATAAGTCACAGCATTCGTATAGGTACAGAGCAGTGGTGTAATTTTTTTTGGTTTTCACTTTTTTTTTTGCTGATTTGGGTAAAATAATGAAGTTTAGGGGAAATTAATTGAGTTTTTTGGTTGAAAGTATGAAAAATAATGAAAAAATCTGCCTTTTGATGTCCAATTTTTAATTCCCCCCGTCCCCTCCAATTCTGAATAATATACACCCCTGGTTCACAGAACCATTTCACTTAATCATTTACTGGTAAAACTGTTTGTCTTTATACTACATCAATTCCGCACAAGATTCTTTAATCCAAGGTTATAATGCAAGGAAAGTTATTTCAGAGGTTTACGCATCTTTTGTACTGCAGTGTACTGTCTCTGGCAGATGTCGAAGCCTGAAATGGGATCCATCTTTCATATAAAAAATCAATGAAATATTATCAAATTATCAAAATTATCAATACTTAAAGCTTTTAACCTTCTCGGATACTCAACGAACACTGATGCATCTATTCTTGTTTACAAGTTCCGCCCAGAGAGAACTGGTTTCAATATGTACACAGAGTATTCGGAACTGCATTTAACTTTCCTTGCATTACAACCTTGCTTTAATCCGTCTTCCTTTCTACAGCTTCAATATACAGGGTAACCCACAATGGATAAGACTGTAAAGACGACCTGAAACTTTGTAAATCTGAAGGTTCCAAGGTTAAATTAGGTGTTCTGTCTTGAATAGAATCTTTCTATGGCTTATTTACAGATTAATTAATAAGAAAAACTAGTTTACAGTTGCTTGGAATTATAATTATGAGGAAACAGACAGTATAAATTCTGTACAGTCGTCTCTGAATTCTCATCCTTTGTGGGTAACCCTGTATTTTAGTCAATTTTATCTTAATTGATTTTAAACTACTAAGCTTTTTCAAACCTTTTTTATTTCTTATACCCGCAAACCTTTTCGCTGCTATTACTATTAGACAGTGTTCATTATCAAGGACCAGCTTTGTCTGTTTTAATTGTTTCATTAAAATCTAAAAATGGATCCGGATCCGGTTCTAGGTTATAAACATTTCTTCAAAAATTAAGGTTTTTTAAAAAATTAAAAAAGTTAGTTTTTTTCTCACTCATATTTATACTAAATCTTGTCGGACCATTCAGAGATTTCGAAGTTTTAAAAAATCTCATCAGTTAGCAGTGTTATGATAGCAACTAGTTTTTATTCAGCAGGTGTTTGTTGATATTTTGCCTCGCTATCTGCATATTCGCACTAATCCGCATATGCGGATCCATTAATTGCACTGTGTTAAATATTTCAGTTTATCTGGTGGAGCACTTCAGATTGGAGATAGAGTTATTGTAGCAAGCTCAATGGCAGGAACTAAAACGGGAACTTTAAAGTAAGAATTAATTGACTAACATTGAAGGGCCCGGTGTTGCCCGTGGGAAAAAAACACCCCCAGGCTATCCATGAGTGTCCACAAAAAGTTTCAGCCCCTAGGGTCCAGCCGTTTGGCCGGCCAGAGGGAACATATATATGAATTATGAATGTCTTGTTATATTATATAAAATAACATATTTATATTTCCGAGTCTAATGAATGTTTACAATTTTCATTTTAACATACTGTTATACAATTGGGATGAATTTGATTGTAATTGATTTAGTTAACTGGAAAAATAAGCTATAAAATTTTTTTTTTTTAATAAAATTCTATTATTCTAGCGGTGAGATTTTCATACGAGACCCCTCCTCTCTCTAGACTTTTGATCTCTTAAAAAAATACATTAAAATCAGTTTTTTTTTTCAAACATGTTGAGAAATTTAGCGCAAAGTAAATAAAACTCTGTATACTAAATTTTAAGAAGAATGCTAAGAAAATAAACAATGTTGTAGAAGAAAGTACAAAAAATGTATAAAAAAAAATTTCAATTCTGAGTTTAATTTTTAACAATTTGACCGCGAAGGTTTGCGAGAATTTTAAAGATAACTTCAAGCTTGCAATTCGAAGTTTCAGTTTAATTAGTTGCCCCAAAAGTTTTGAATTTTAAAGATATCTACTCCTGTGTTGTTTAGGTATTTAGGACCTACGGATTTTGCTAAGGGTGAGTGGGCAGGAATTGAACTGGAAGCTCCGATTGGAAAAAATGACGGTTCTGTTGATGGAAAAAAATATTTCGAATGCGCGGCAAATTTTGGACTTTTTGCGCCACTTCATAAGGTTGACATTTTAAAATCATTTTTTTTTGAGTGATGCATAGATTATTTAATCAATATTTGATTTATTAAAACATTTTATTGATTGATTTGATATTTGTGAAGTTGATTGATTTCATAATTAATTGATTACATAATTCATTTATTTCGATGAGCATTTTTTATTTTTAAGAATTTGTAGAATAAATTTACATTAATATTGAACACCATACTATTTACAACCCGTTGTACCTTAAAATGATATGCTTGCTTAGTAGTGGCAAACATTTATTAATTTCTATTATTGTTACATTTATCACTCTTATTATTATTTTTTGTTATAAACATAAAACCAATTTGTTTGCTAGGTTTCTAAATCTCCCAAGATGCGAATGATGAAACCTTCAGCATTAACCCCGGGCAAACTTAGGGAGTCAACAGTTAACAAATAAAACTTTCCTCCCTCAATATTTTTCATTTTTTTGTTTCTTGATTTTAAATGTAGGTGAAACATCCATGAGTCAATAGTTCTTAAAAAAAAACTTTCCTCGCATATTTTAATTTGTTTTATGAATTTTTGTTTCTCGATTTAAAATGGTGTTTTAAATCTATAACAAGCTATAAATAGTTATGCCTTAATTATCTGGATTTTAAATGGCGATCTAAAGCCATTACAAGGTACATGGACATACTCCATTTTTAATTTAGTTTTTAGTAAAATCTAATTGTTTAAGAATTTTTAACTAAAATACCTCCGTTCGTAACATGTAAATTATTTTTAATATTATCTTGTGAATATGTTTTCTTGAACAAGCATTCGGGCCTTCTTCATTTATTTTCCTGATTTATCAACAACTAAAAGATTTTTTCCCTCGCTTAATTGGGAAAATAAACAATATTTGGATAAAAAGTTACGAAAAAGGGGAAAATTGCCATTTGATTTTCAGACCGGCTTTACTCCCACTTCTGGGTTCACACTCAGCTCTTAATCGAGTTAATGTAGCTGAACTTAAATGTATCTCAACCCTGACTGTGTTTTTTAAACTTAAAAAATCATGGATGGGAAATAAGAATTCTTAAAAAAATATCTTTTTATTCTAAATTGTTGAACTATAGACGGGAGAGTTCGACTCTGTCTGACCGGAGCACTGTAAGTTCAATACAAGGAAGAGGATTTAGTACACCTGACAAATCAGACAGACAGGTGAGGGAGGGGAGGGAGGGGGGGGGGGTGACCAGGGGTACGGGATTATTTCCAGGGGCGCATTCTCTTTTATCTTTCCAGAAATTTCAGAAATTGAAGATCAAAACGGAAAGCAAAACTAGATTTATAAATACGTTGATTGTCTAAAAAAATTTTACCAAAAATTTTTTATTTAAAAAAAATAATTGTCGTTTTTGTAAAAAGAATAATATTCGTTAAAAGCTTAAGAAGTTCATAAATAAAGGTATTAAGTATTTGCCTCAAACTCAAATTTTCTCATCCATATATCTTTGCTACCTGATGGTGTCAACCTTAAATTTTTAAAATTAGTTTATTTAATCTGATAGAATTTATAGTTTAGTAGGTCTACGACATAGGTTTGCATAGGAATTAGAAAATCAGAGTTTGTGGTAAGAACTCAGTTCATTTGATTTATTAATATTGTTAATTGAAGGGTTTGGTTACTCCGGCCACGGTGAAGTCCAACACGTCGGCGTTGAAGGAGATGCTGAGGGACAAGGATGAACGGATTAATCAGCTTCTCAAAGATCTGGATTTAGGTTAGACAGTTTGTTTTTTTTTGTTAAAATTTGGTGTTGTAGATGATGAGCTTAAAGTAAAAAAACTTGCGTTAATTCCACATTTTTTTTACCTAATACCCTCTACAGTCGATTAACGATAGTACAATAGTACAATAGTGCAGTACGATTAACGAAAGTACAATAGTACAAATTTTTAAGAGATAAAAAGAAAAAAAAGAAAAACTTCAAAATAAAAAGTTGTCTGATGAAGAATTGAAACTAACTCATCATGATATGTAGAAAAGATAATATGGAAAGTTTCACTTTTTAAGAATATTTTTAGACTATTATTATTATTATTATTAATACTCCTTTTTCATCCATATATTGTCAACATTGAATCATTGAATTAGCAATAAAATAAAACAGATGGTGAAAATAATGATTTTTTTATTCTTCCTTTAAGGATCTTATTTCGGAATTATTTCATGTCCAATTGTTGATTTATTTCCCCAAATATATTTTTTTATTTATTCCAAATATACCAACGCTCATTTCAGAACGATCTGAGGTTGGAAAGGCTGCCAGCCAAACAGACGAGGTTGAAACTAAGCTGACCAAGGTCCAACAAGAACTTAGGTATTTTGAATTTTTCTAGATTTATGCAAGGTTGAGCTAGAAGTAATTTTTAATTTAATCAATTTTGGTTATGGTTCATAATGTATCAGTTAGAGTAATGGTAAGACTAATAAGATATTTTTATATTGGTTTACCTCTCAAATTCAAATTATAACTAACACCACTATATAAATGTTTTAATGCTGTTAAACCCTTTAAATTCAAAATGTACTTAATATAATTGAAAGTAGGTAATAGGTATGTATTTAAGTTTATAGTGACCGCCTAACAAACAAAATTAAACCTTTTTTTCGAAGAAAAAACAAGACTGTACACCTTTTGAATGTCAATGGTTGTCGACATTTTATCGTACCAAAATAATTTTTTGTCAGTTTTTAAATGAAAAATTCGGGAAATTGACTTAATTTTCATGCAAGATTTTACCAAATTCAGTAGTTAGCACTGATCTTAAGAAGTTTGATTTAAGTTGATAAAAATTTCGACTCTCCAGTCCAGTGAATTTGAATCTAGAGACCTACGTCTCTACAGGCCTAAGGAACCAAGTTTGATCAAATATTGTAAAAAACGATAATGATGACAATGATGATAATGAAAATACTATTTCAGTACGTGTAGAAAGAATGTTCTGGAACTAGAAGGATCCCGGGACCAGCTCAAGGTTAAACATAAAACTTTCACTTGGGACAGGTCTCACCCCTTGCGTGTGTTTTTAATCAAACGTTTTTTTTCATGAATGCATTCTTATTCTTAATTTATAAAAAAAAAAAATTCAACTTAAAATCTCTTTATAGCGTTAAGTTCTCAAACTAATTTTTTTTCAGGATCTTTTAGAAGAGGAAAGGAAACGGGCTGAAGACCTGCAGTTTAGGCTTGAGGAAGAACAGATTCTTAGGTCAGGAGAATATTGTCTTTCTTTGGAATTTTTCTTCTTTTTTTAACTTACAAAATTAAATATTTAGTTTTGTCATCATTAAATTATATTAAATAATGATATTTATTGATGCACAAATATGCATTCAGTTTTTTGTTTTTGTTTTGTTAAAGGGACAGTAAAGGAAAAATGAAAGGGGGTATAGGCTGAAAGCTAATCACTTTAGCTCTTGATCGCGACCCATGAAAGTCATCTCTGATGTTCCTGTCTCGAGAAATTGATATAAAACTGTGTCAATTGTTTATGTTGTTTAATGTTTATATAATTTTGTATAAAAGTAGTAGGTTTAAACAGATCATATTCAGCAAATAAGCAACCAATCTGAAAACGATGATATCCCAGAGAAAGCTAATTGTAAATCAGGTTTACTTTTATATTTGTTATTTCTATTTTCAATAGATTTCATTCATAATATTATTTTTACGTCCGTATTACTTGACCAGAAATTCCACCAATGGCAGTGCAGTAAAGTGGTCACGTGATACAGGCGGAGACACGTGACCAGTATACTGCTCTGCCATTGGTGATAGTTCTGGTAACGTGATTTAAGTTTCAGATTTTCAAAATTTTACATATATGAATTTTCGTATAATTTTAACACAGTTTATATCAATCAGATAAAACTTTCCTGGGTCGCGATCAAGAGCTAAAGTGATTAGCTTTCAACCTATACCCCCTTTCATTTTTCCTTTACTGTCCCTTTAAGGTTTATTTGAACTTGCCCTACATTTGTTTGCAGCTTGTTGTATTTAAATCTTAAATTAAATTTTTTTTATTTCAAATGTTGGTAATATAATTTCTGATTTGATTTTAGTTTAGCCTGTTTAAAGGGTTTTAAAACTTTTCTCACCTGATAGGGTCTAGCTTTAATTTGGCATCTTTTCTAGGGGTGAAGGTAGGACTGAAGAGGAATCAGGATCTGACTCATCTGAGCTTAGGAATGAAATTATTCTAATCAATCAAAGAATTTTTTTAATCAATTACTAAAATCAGAAAATAAATTGGTAAAATCATTTAAACAATTTCTAAATCATTAAATCAAGTTAACATGTTCTAGAAAAGTTCATAGATAATTGTGTTACACTATCTGAAATTGAAGAATGTTGCAATAATAAAAAGAGGGTTTTAGTGGCTTTTTTAAAAAGTATTTTGCACTATTTTAAATTTGAATTCAAGTTTTCCTAAACAAGTAAGCTCACAAAATTAATTTCAGGTTCATCAATTCCACACTGAAAATAATTCATAGTTGATCCATTTCAATGACAATGACATCTCAAATATTATCAAAATGATTTTTTGGAGCAGAGTGAATCGAGAGCGAATAAAAGAGTTAGAAATAGAAATAGTAACACTTAAAACCCAACATGAAGATGCTGCTGGGAATGGGAAGGAGTTGGAGGAGGAGAAGGAGAGAAGCAGAAAGGAGTTGGAGAAGGTTAAGATGGAGTTGGAGGAGGAGAACAAGGTAATGAGGAAGGAGTTGGAAGAAATGAAGAAAGAACTAGTAAAATCGGAAGAAAATGAATCTGCTTTGAAGGTAAGAAAGAATTAGGGAACTTCTAAAAAGAAGAAATTAAAAGATCATGATTCAAACATCACAAATTGCTGAATTAATACCATTATTTTAAACGGAAAAGTATTTTATTCATATTGACGTATTTTTATGAATTCCTATTTTAGGAACTAAGAGATAAGATGACAAACTTAAACCGAGAGCTTTTACTGGAGCAGAAGCGGTCAGAGACTGAGGCCAACAAAGTGTTTGAGGCTGAAGAGCAGTTAATGGCGTTAAATGAGGACCTTGTTCAAATTAAAAAGAAGATGGAAGTCTCTGAGCAGAGTCTGGAGGCAGAGAAGAAGAGAAGTCTGGAGCAGATTGAGTCTTACAGGACTGCAGAGTTCCAGTCTGCGGAAACAATCATTCAGTTAGAGACAGAGTTAAAGACGAAGGAGAACGCCATGATGGATCTTACTCATAAGATTAACAGCCTGGAGAGTAAAGCTGCTGAGATGGAATCAAAATGGAGTTCGGCTTCTGGAGATGTTAACTCTGGTAAAAAAGAGGTTAATGAACTTAAACTAGCACTGACCAAAGTTGAAGATGAACTGAAAGAATCAAAGTCTAAGCTTTTTGAGACTGAGACAAGAATCAATGCTCTTGTTGAAGAAAGAGATATTATAAACCTGGAGAAAGATGAGTTAGTGATTGAACTAAAAAATAAGGAAGGATTATTGGCAAACAAAGAGAAAGAAATAGAAAGTTTAAAAACCAACATAGCGTCTTCTGGATCAGATTTTCAGGTCCAGGTTCAAGAAAAAATCCAGGAAATATCTGCTCTGTCCTCCAAACTGTCCACCCTTGAGGTTCAGCTGGGACAAAAGACCAAGGCCATGTCTGAAAAGGAAGGAGAGATATCAGAGTTGAAGGCTACTGTTAAAAGCATTCAGAGTAGTTTGGATCACATGACAGAGCTAAAGTCCAATTGTGACAAGGAGATTGGCATGCTCAAGGACTCTATCAACGGAATGAATGAGGAAGTTGAAAGATTGAACCAAACAATCAAAAAGAGAGATGATGACATTGAATCTGCTAACAAAAGCACAGATAAACTTCAGTCAGATCTTGATACTCTTTCTGTCCAACTAGTTGATGTCAAAGCCTCTTATGAAAAACAAATTGGTGATATTGAGTCAAGCTTTGAATCTGAAAAACTTACCTTGGCAAAATCCAACAAAGGATTAGAAGAAGAGATTATGAAGTTTAAAAAGAGTTTTGAGGCCGAAGTTCAAAAGCATGAAGAGTCCTTGAAAGAGCTGGAACATACAAAGGTCGGAGAGTTGAAGAAGTTGGAGAAAAAGAATGCTGCCAATGAGAAAAAGATAGAGGAGCAAGCATTAGAAATATCTCGTCTTATCTCAGACTCTCAATCCTCTGCTGATCATAAGGACAGGGAGCTGTCTAGTTTGAGAACAGAAACTGGAGAACTCAAGGAGTCCATCAAACAGCTCAAATCTAATATTTCGGTCCTGAACGAGAATCTAGCTGAAAAACAGGCTTTTCTTTCTGAGAAAGAAGCCGACATGGTTGCACTCAATACTGAATTAACCTTGGTCAAATCTCAAGTAGAAGAATTGAAAAAGGTTGAACTTGAGGCTGGAAACTTAAGATCTGTTGTTGAAGGTTTGAAGGAGGATAAATCCAGCCTTGAATCCCAGCTTCTAAACCTTCAAACTGAGACTACGGATAACTCCTCCCAGGTTCAATCATTAACCCAGTCAAACACAGAACTGAGCTCTCAGCTCTCAGAACTTAAACAAACCCTGGCGCAGTGGAAAGAAAACTTTGCTAAGCTTGAAGCTGAGAAGAAGGAAAAAGAAGCAGGGCTTACAAAAGATCTAGAGAAATCAAGGATAGAACATGAGCGTGAAATTTCCAAGCTTAATAAAACTCTGGAACAGTTAAAAAATACCTGTAAGGAAGCTGAAGATCAGCACAACCAATCCATAGAAGAGTTAAAGCAGAATCAGGAAGTTCTTATTAGGAAGAAGGAAAGTCTTATACAGGAAACAGAGGAGAAGATTGAAAAGTTTAAAACTGAACTGACTGATCTCAAACTTAGACTTGATGCTGCAACTGATGACATCTCAGAGAAGACTGACAAGATTGAGAGCTTGGAATGGAAGAAGAGTGAGTTGGAGACTCAGCTGGATCGCGTCAAGATCAACCATGATGAGGAACTTGGAGAGATGGTGGACATTGTTAACGATCTCAAACTAAAAGAAGATGAACTTGTTGGTGTGCGTCGAGACCTAACTGTGCAAAACAAGAAAATAGATGAACTGTGTGCGCAGCTTTTAAAGCAGGAATCTACGCATAAGGAGACAATGAAGAGGAAAGAGGAGGAGCATGTGAAGAAACTAGAGAGTATGGAACAGAAGTTTGCTGAATCGGTCAATCAGGCGCAGTTCCTCAAGGAGCAGATGGCGAGCATCAAGGTAAAATACAATACTAAAATTAATCCCTGTGTTTTATGACTTTGGGAGGCGTTGGTGGTTTTTTTTATTTATTGTTTGTTTGAATGATTAATTAATTGAGGGAGAGAGGCGTTGGTGGTTTGATTTCTTGATAGTTTGTTTGTTAAATTGATTGATTGAATGATTGATATAGATTTTTTGATTGTTTGTTTGTTAAATTGATTGATTGATTTATTGACTTATTGATCGTTTGTTTGTTAAATTGTTTGATTGATTTATTGATCGTTTGTTTGTTTAATTGATTGATTGACTATTGGATTGATTTATTGATTGATTTATTTTTAAGGTGGAGTCTGACCTTCAGGTTGAAAAAGTTAGAATGGAGATGGAAGGAGAGATAAAGAGCCGGAATATTGAAATGGATCAGAAGATCAGCATAATTAATAAACTCAAGGTATCTTTTGTTCACAATAATTACAGTTTTTTTTATAATTGTATAAAAAATAACAAAAAAATTCCCACCCAATTGAGGGGGTTGGGGTGCGTATTTTCTTGACGTTTTTCTTGATATTTCATCCCTCGCTTACGCTTGTGATGAAATATCATCAAAAAAGTCTCGAAAATATTTGGAAAAGTTAATTCCCGGTAAAATTGTCAGTTCTACCTTGTAAATCATCGCTAATAGTAAATAAATAGTTAAATAGTTAAGCAGGGGGAGCGGAAAAAAGAAAATATTTTGTTCTAAACGAAGTTGTATCTAGGACGAACTGGTTTCCAAGGAGGAGGAGTTGGAATTCACCAAGGAGGAACTCCAAGCCAAGAAGGAGGAAATTGAGGAACTCAGCACTGACCTGGATATCAAGGAGGTCAGTTTCAACAACGAGAACAAGGAGATAGAGGAGAGGCATAAGGAGGAGGTGGAGGAACTCATTTCTAAACATGAAACTCTCAGTGCTAAAATCGGGGAATTAAACGAGAAACTTGCGCGACAAACATCTGAGTTTGACTATAAGCTTGATGAGTTGACTCGAACTAAGAAGGTTGAGTTGAACGAGGTGAAAGACCAGCTGAGTGAGAAGGAGACCTTGATCCTGGATCAGGAGTTGGCAATGAAGAACCTGGAGATGAAACTGGAGTCCCTGGAATCCACCATGAAGGGAGACAGTGAGCTTGCCAACACGAAGCTTGAAAAAATATCCTCCGAAAATGAGTCCCTCCGACGCAGCAAATATGAGCTAGAAACGAGCCTGAAAACCTTGAACTCAGAGCGAGATCATATTGTTCAACTCAATGAAGGTTTAAGCATTAGAATTGTTGAATTTGAAGTCCAGGTTCAGGAAATGAGCTCACAGTACCAATCCTTGAGCGTGCAGTATGAAAAGCAGCAGGTTGAGTTGACAGAAAAGTGTGAGTTGATGAGCCAAGGTGCAGGCTCACTCGCAGACTTGGAGCAACTTCTGTCTACAGAACGAGCCAGGGTTGACTCACTCCAGGTTGAGCTCAATGATCTTGAGAGTGAGCGAGATCAGCTTCAAGCAATGATTGAAAAAACCAACTCTGAAAATGAAAAACTAATCAAAATAAATTCTGAAAATACTGAACTACAGGGTCAGGTGACTGAAATGACAAGGAAAAATGAGTTTTTGTTTGAAGAAATTGCGCGAGAGCGATTACGACTGGAGAGTAAGATCACAACACTGGCGGAGGAGTTGGAGAAGGAGAAGGAGGAGAAGAGAAATCTATCCCAGAGTCTGGATTCCGTCAGTTCGGAGAACTCTCAGCTGAGCAGCTACAAGAGACAGGTTCTCATGCTGGAACAGGAGAACAAGGAAGGATTAAAACCATTTATTACTAATTTTTTAAATGAAATTGAATTTTCATTTATAAGAGCGATATTATTCCCTGAATTCAAAAGTTGTGTAAGTGAAGTTTGTGTATTCCTAATATATTTTTTAAATGCCGGCATACTAATTATTGTTTTTCTTACTTAAATGGGCTCAATTTAATCCATTTTCCTGCTCGTCTATATGCTGCAGAATTGTAAAGTTATTTTTCAGTAAAGCCACAGCGAGAAGTCAATTTAAGTTGTGAATATTGGATGACACTAGTTTTAAGAAAGTCGTTAGGAAATTGTATTGACAGTTTCTATTAGTCAATATAAGACCATGAATATCCTAGGTTTTGAGAATGATGCATTTTTTATAAATTGGATAAGATTACAGTTTATGATTTGTCACTAATGCTAATATTAATGGATTTCTTGAGTTCTATTTTTGTTTCAAAAGTTTTTCCACTAATTTGATTTTAAGTTTTTAATGGTTGGTAACCCTGGCAGGATCTGGAAAATAAACTGGTGACCCTTGCAGCTGAATCCAGAGTCCAGAAAACAAAGTCCCCCTCCCCTCTAGCGGACGGGGATGAGAATCTGCAGGGTCAGGTGGATTTTCTCAACTCTGTCATCGTGGACATGCAGAGAAAGAATGACGAGCTAAAGTCGAAACTTGAACTACTAGAAAATGCCGGCGTTTTGGGTAAATAATTCAACCATTTTTTTTTTTAGGTTGTTTTAGTTAGTTAATACATTCAGTTTTTATTTATAAATTATTGTCCAGTGAAGTTGTTCATTGAAGGTTAATTGGCTTGTGTACTGCTGGTGGCTTGCCAGCAAACTAACTAGTCGGTGGTCGGGTTGGTTGTTAAGAAAGATTGATAGACCTTTTAAAGTGATTGATTAATTGATTGATTATTTCTTTGATTGGTTGATTGAATTGATTTATTGATTGATTGATTGATTGATTGGATGAACCCTGTATTTCTAGATGAATCTATTGAGTTCTACTTCAACGGTGTATCTGCCCGACAAGCTGCTCCCCGACTTTTCTGTGATATTTGCGACGAATTTGACCTTCATGATACAGAGGACTGCCCTAAACAGGTGAGATAGAGATGCTTAGTAGGGTGCCCCAAAAAAAGAACAAGTTTGGATATTTGTATGATCCAGACCGGATTGAAGTGACATTTAGTGATACAAATTAAGGAAAATTATATCAGGCGGTAAAAGTGGTACGATCTCAAAAATTTATTTTCCAGAATTTGTATGACTAAATGTCACTTCATTCCGCGCCGGTCTGCATCATAAAAATATCCTAACTTTGTCTTTCTTCGGGGTACCCTAGTCCTTTTGATCTGCAACATTTTAGCTCACTAGATCTGGATAGGAACGGATCGGCAAAATATGCAAATCCACCTATCTGAATCCAAGATGTAAATATCAACCATAACCTAAAAAAACTTGAGGCTCTCAAAACACAAATCACAAATGCTATGATTGGTGAACTAGTGAGTAATTCTTTATAAAGCTTTGTTGTTGAAAACATTCTTCTTCAGCATTATTTTTTTCATGATCATTATTCTCATCATTATTATTATTACGTTTATTATTTATACATTATTTTTGCGCCGACTCCTTTCTTTGACATTAATAAAAAATAAATTAAAATCTAGGAATTATTTCTAGGCTAGTAGTGTAGTGGAGGAAACCGGACACAGTAAACATTCTGGAAAACGGAAACCAGAACCTAGAGCTTACTGTGTTATTATAATTATTAATATTATTTCGCGGTGTGGGTAAACCTCATATTTAAATCCACAGTGGTTTTTGTACCTGTTACCCATTGAGCATTTCCGCCCCTGACTTTACATAGAATTTTACTTGATTTAGAGTCATTGACATGGTTTTGAAGTTTAAACCAAGTCCAAGGTTAGGGGGTTGTATTTAAAGTGAAATGTTGCCTTTTAACATTCAAGACATATGCTACTACTTTTTGTATAACTGCAGGTTGTATGAGCTGCTTGTTCTTAAAAATATTACCCACCATTGTTTCAATTTTCCTCCATGACTTAGTCCATGGGTCTGATGGTTTATCTAGTTGCTCTCTTAGTATTTTTAACAGTGTGGGAATATTTTTGGTTTTGAATATATCATAAATAAACCCGACCTGTCTTAAATAAACTCTTTACTGTATAGGCATTAAACCAGCATCTATCCAGGCTAGTACTCATGAAGTTGATGCTGAAACTTGTAGAATAAACCGTTCCATAATTGTACTTTTTTAATTGATATAGCTTCTATACAGTACAATATTGCTGGTATGGCACATGTTTCCCAAATTCTTTTAGCTATTAGCGCTCTATCAAGGCCCCCCCCCCTCATAAATACTTAGCTACTAATACTTCTTCTATTGTATCGTCATTGATGGGCCAGCTTATATATGTAGCACTTGAAATGATAAATTTTTACTTGTTGCTATATTTTATTATCTTTGCAAAACTTGTCCACTAGATTTAATAATTTTATCATTCCAGATTTGGATGTCCCTGAAATTAGGACCAAGTCATCGGCAAAAAGGGCAGTAATAAATTCAGCGCCTATTTTTATCCCTAACTTTTAACTTGGAATTGTGTAATGCTGTTCCTAATGACGCAATTTATAGTGATAAACCCTGTTTTACACCCTGTGTAAAATAGAATGGTTCCGATACCCCTGAGTCCAGGCTTATACAAACTGAATCATTGAAATTCATACTTCTAATTGTTGAAACCACTCTTCCCTCAAAGTCTATGTTTCGTAACTTAGTATATAGTAAATCGGCAAACTGAATCATAGGCTTTGGCAATATCGCAAAATGCAATTGATATTGTCTTATGCTTTCTTTGGGCTGTTTTAATAGCTGATAAAATAAAATGATGAAAACACAATCTGCAGTGGATCTTTGCTTGCGAAATCTATATTGAACTAATCCATATAATCTTTCCCTTTCGCAAATTTCGTTCATTCTACTATGTAGGATTTTCGTTATGATGCACAGCATAACACTTGAAACTGTTAAGGGTCTTTTTTACTTATTTCAAGGGATGGTTCTTTTTTGTCCATTAGAGTCTTTTTCCCTGTGTTAAAAACCTGTGATATGTCACCCTCTTTAAAACATTTGTTGATCAAACTGGTAAAGTGATCTATAAAATTTTCACTGGCATTTTTAATTATGCCCCTGGGCCCCTTTTAAGTTTTACTCCTTTTATCCTTTTATCCTTTACAACAACCTCGTTTTTTGGAGGTTTTCAAATATTTTCTCCTTGAACACGTTATAATTTTGTATGTTTTTGTTATATTTTATAAATAAATAATTACTTACTTACTTAACCTTTTTAACTTCTTCCACGATACATGGAGCGCTAACTTCATCCTCATGCTTAAACTCATCATTAACCTTTGGTGTCCATTTTTCCTGGTTAAACATATTCGTAACTGTTATATCTTTGATTATCTGCTCACCATGGGACTCAAAAATGAGACATAATAATTCTGGTCCTAACATCCTTTCAAACACCATTCTTTTAACTTGTATCGGAATTACCTTTTTCGTCTAGTTTCATAAAATCACGACAAGTTCAATTCTCCCATTCGTTTTTTACGAAACTAATAAAAAATCCTCCGTAACGGATCTGCGACCTACGCAGAACTAGGTCTTAATGCAGATATTTTTAAATTAAGCGGAAAAAATATCAAATAAAAAATATTTGATATTTAGTTTGGTTTGGTTGGTTGAAAGTGTATTTCTTGAAGTGTATAGGTCAGGGTTCATATTCGTTATACTAACGAATATTTAATGATGTGGTAAATAAAGAAGCTGACATTATTAATTACGTACAATCGTTTCTGAAGTCTCATTCGTTGTGGATAACCCTGTAGCTGTTAGTTAGGGGGGGGGTATACAAGAAGGGAAGCCTAGAGGGGAAGGGGGTATAAATGAAAAGAAAGAAAGTTGCGGGGGAGGGGAGCATATGAATAGATTTTGGTAATAAGTAAGTAAAACAGTGGAGAAACGCATTTCTTTACTTTGTTGAGTTACTTACTATTTAGTCACTGGAAACTGAAAGATGAAAAAATTAAAAAAGCTTTTTTTTAGATGTTTGGGCATGAAACCGAGGATTGCAATGACACTGAAACTTTTTGAAAAGTTTCTGAAATTTTCTTCCAAATTTTAGAATTTGTAATTATACTTTTATCTTTTAATTTATCTAATTTATGTACTTTACTTTAGCACGATTGCACATATAAGTAACACTGCTGTACATTGTACATTTTGACATATCAAACTTGTACCTTCAGCTGTCGACTTGATCACAGATCATGAATGAATTAATCAAATTGAAATGGAGCAGATCAATTGTTAAACACTGATCAATGATTGATTTGTAAACATGAGCTTGTAATTGTACTAAAGCAGAGCTTGATGCTTGCAATAAAATTATATTTTTATAAAATATTTACATCATGATGTTTCTGGTTTTCCAGCGGATTTTCGCGAAATCCATATAAAATGTACTAACCAAAGAGTAGACTTGCTTCTAACAAAAAAACTATTTTTTAACTCACTACATTGCATGAAGTTATATATTTAAGTTTATAAAAAGGAAACAACTTGATAATTTTATTATTTGTTGATAGTTAAATTATTTGTTAATTTTTCTTATTGTTGATAATTAATAAATGATACTGACTTGCATTACATTTAGTTTGCTGGATATAAACGAAGTTTCCCACTGGACATAACAGTTGAGATTTGACTGAAAGGTCGTCTTTAATCATTGATCTATTAAATCGGCTTTATTGTTAGAAAAGTCATCTTTGCCAAAGTAAAAAAGCTTCCTTTAAGTAAGGTTAAAAAGCAAAAAGTAAATTTCAAATATGAAACTCATTAAATACATTATAAAGAATCTAAAAAAGAAAAGAACTCATTGAAAAAATAGAGGTACAAAAATCTAACAAATGCAATTAGTAAAAATATCTTTTAATATTATTTCATCTTTTAGTGATTATCTAATTGACAAACAAATTATGACCGATTATAGCATGCGGGGTTGGGCCGAAAATTGACTTGAGGTGGCCAGAACTCAGAAACCAGAGGTCACATGAGTGAAATAAAAAGTCCAAAAAGAATGATCCTTTTTCTGTCATATTTTGCTATTTTCCTTCGGTATTCAAGGAAAGAAATAATTAGCAAATCATATTGATAAAAATTGGGAATTAAACGCTTTTCGTTAGATCAGCTAAAGATAAACATTAGAAATAAACTAAATAAAGTAGTGATCCATGTGTTCAGTGTAAGTTTGCTGCTTCTACAGTATGTAGTCTGATGAAGCATATTCAATATAAACATTTAGAAGTGAAATATCCCAGTGTGAATATGCTGCAACTACCATGTCAATTGAAGAATTAGAGTGAACATGACGGAGTGAGAATTGAGATATCCCTGTAAGCAATGTAATTTTACTGCCTCAAATAAAAGTTACCTAAAGAGACATTTTGAACATAAACACTACGGAGTAATGTATCCTTGTACCCAGTGCGAACTCGCTGCTACTACAGCAAGTGCTCTAAAGAACCATAATAAGACTAAACATAATGAAAAAGAAATCCTTGTGCTCAGTGTGAACATTCTACCAATACAGCAAGTAATCTAAGTAAGCATATCAAAAGTGACCATGAAGGAGTAAGATATCTATGTGACAAATGTGATTATTCTGCCACTGAACTCCTGAAGAATTATATTAAAAATAAACATGAGGGAGCAAGATATTTATGTGACGAGTGTATTTATGATTTTTCTAAACTCTGAAGTACAACATTAACATTATATTGGCGTTCAGTTTGTGGAAGGTTTAAATCTTCAAGAATTATTAAAACGTATTCTAACCTTACATTGCCACCATAGCTAGCTTGATAAAAGCAAACATGGACTTAGTATGCAAGTTGCATAAGGCTATTTTATAAATAATGTTCATGGACACAAATTTCCTGTAATTTATGTAGTCATCAACATTTTTGTGCATGACAGTATTAATATTTCAAATTGGAGAGATCAAGTTCCAAATATTTCATAGAGTTACTTTAGAGAAGACTTTTTTCTTTTTCAGATAGAATGGCAGAAGAATCAACTATGGAAGAAAAAGAGATAAAAGAAAACCAAGTTTTTGTCAAGCAAGAGATTTGTCCAGCTTCTAGTTTAAAATATTCTTGGGATGTGCTAGAGGAAGATGGTAGGATAAATGGTAAGATAAATATACTTTTACATCTTTTGTAAAGACAAAATCAGAATTTGTAATCTGTGTAGTGAAATAATGGTTTTATTGTGAAAATTATAATTTAAGTTAATGTTAAAGCCACAAAACTCTTTCTTTTATAACAAAAGCTTAAAACTTTTAATGCTCTAAGGGCTTTCTTATCACTAACATTTTAATTTTATCTGCGAACATTTTCTCTTTGCTTATTATTTAACAATAATAATTTATATTTTCTTATGTATAGATGTTATCAAAATTTAGATGGAATTGCTGAAAATATGAGTCACGAAATAATATTGGAAGAGTTTGAGATGAAAGAAGAAACTCTTCCAGGTTTTACTGTAGAAGATACTTGTACAGTTTATGTGCAAGGGGAAAGAATAGAAAGAGAAAGTACGGATAATCAAAGTAAGGAAAACATTTAACTTTTCGTTGTAAAACCCATTATATCATATTGTTCGGTTCTATATAGGGATCAGTAACGTTTCGTATAGTACACTTTGTCTAGGTAACATTTTGCATAGGTAACATTGTGTATAAGTAATATTTTGTATAGATAACATTTTGCATGGGTAACATTTCGTACAAGTAATTTTTCGTATACAAATATCCATAACAGAATGAAGATAGTTTGCAAGGAAATCTACAAACCATGATGAAAAAAAAATCTGTCAAATTACAACATTTTCCAACCCATGCCTCTCTGATTTACTAAGTCAGTACTCGTTTAGGGTAAGGAAAATTTTCTCTTGGTGTTACCTATACGAAATACTACTTATATAAGATGTATTTTATATGACAGCTTGCCTATCAAATCAAATCATGCTTTTAGGGACGTCCTACACCCACACCTATACAAATTGTACTATGCGAAAATGAACCTTGACAAAATGTTACTATATGAAATCAGAAAATGTACTATCCAAAATGCTACTGTTCCTAGTAAAATTTCGTTTAGGTTAATTTTCGTTTAGTACACTTTGTAAAGGTAACATTTTGTCAGGTGTAACATTTCGCATAGATAACATCCTGTCTAGGTAATATTTTGTATAGGTAACCACCAGGGGTAATTTTTCGTATAAATGTTAATATAAGCTATTTAGTAAGCTATTCAACATATTTTTTTCTTTTTTACCTATTTATTATCCATCAGATTTAAGGTATTCTTGATCAGCCAGGATGCCAAACTGTTAAGTAAGTAATTTAATGTTACACACATGTCCAACAGTTGACAGTAATTATGATAATTGTTAACAACTATGGCACCCTTACCCTGACGAGTAGTAAGTCTTATTAGAGAGACATGGTTTTATTTATGTTGTAATTTGGCGGATTTTCTCCATCATAGTTCGTTGATTTCTTGCAAACAATTTCCATTCTTTTATGGATAATTGTAAACGAGAAATTACCTATACAAAATGTTACCGATACAAGACTTGAATCCTTCAGCCTGTGTACGTACGAATAGATCTGATAATGAATGGATTGGATAATGAATGGATCGGATAACGAATAGATCGGATAACAAATGGATTAGATAACGCATGGTTTAGATAAAAGATGGATCGGATAATGAATGGATCAGATAACGAATATATTGGATAATGAATGGATTAGATTAAGGATGGATCCGATATGAAATGGACAAGATAACGAATGGATCAGATAATGATTACAAGGCATTAAGCAGACAATGATCAGATGTAGATAATGATTGAACCAGAGGGTTCCGGGTATGGAAAACCACATTAAAGATTGAAAGATTAAATAATGAATGGATTAGATAACCAATGGATCAGACATTTAATGGATTTGGTAACAAATAGATCAGATAATAAATGGATTTGGTAACAAATGAATCAGATATATTTGGCTAAGGGGTTCGGAAACGTACGAAATGTTACTTTACAAAAAATTAACTTTACTAAACGTTATTGANCACTGATTACATTTAATTTCAGATGTAAGCCTGAATATCAAAGAAGATCTTCTTTTCAAAGAACCTATAAGCCTCAAGAAGACCAAACATAAAGGATTGAGATATCCTTGTGATGACTGTAATTATGTGGCAAACAAAGCTTCAAATCTCAAGAGACATATTAGCCGTAAACTTGAAGGAGTGAAATATCCCTGTGATCAGTGTGAATACGCTGCACCTAGTACTTCTTGTCTAAAAAGGCATACTGAAAATATACATGAAGGCTTCTGTAGATATCCATGTGATCAGTGTGAATACGCTGCACCTACTACTTCTTGTCTAAAAAGGCATATTGAAAAGATACATGAAGGAGTGAGATATTCCTGTGACAAGTGTGATTTCACTGCACCTAGTACTTCTAGTCTAAAAAAGCATATTGGAAATAAACATGACGGATACCCTTGTGGTGATTGTGATTATGTGGCAACTCTAGCTAAATCTCTCAAGAGACATATTAGACACAAACATGAAGGAGTGAGATATCCCTGTGACCAGTGTGATTACACTGCACCTAGTACTTCTAGTCTAAAAAAGCATATTGGAAATAAACATGAAGGATACTCTTGTGGTGATTGTGATTATGTGGCAACTCGAGCTAAAACTCTCAAGAGACATATTAACCAGAAACATATAGGAGTGAGATATCCCTGTGACCAGTGTGAATACGCTGCACTTTGTACTTCTAGTCTAAAAAGGCATACTGAAAATATACATGAAGGGTTTAGATATCCCTGTGTTCAGTGTGAATACGCTGCCACTTCTATTAGTCATCTGAAGAGACATATTAGAAATAAACACGATGAGGTCAGATATCACTGTAATCAGTGTGAATACTCTGCTACTTCTACAAGTCAACTGAAGATACACATTGAATGTAAACACGATGGAGTCAGATATCTATGTAATCAGTGTGAATACATTGCTACATCTCCAGGTAATCTGAAAATACACATTGAATCTAAACACGAAGGAGTAAGATATCCATGTGATCAGTGTGAATACACTGCTACTGCTAAAACAACTCTAAGGCTGCACATTGAAAGTAAACATGAAGGAGTGAGATATCCTTGTGATCAGTGTGAATATATTGCTTCTTCTAAATCCTGTCTATCGAGACATATAAAAAATAAACATGAAGGAGTGAGATATTCTTGTGATCATTGTGAATACACTGCTTCTTTTAAAAGCTGTCTAAGGAAGCACATTCAAAGTAAACATGAAAGAGTGAGATATTACTGTGATCAGTGTGATCTCGTTGCCACTACATTACCAGCTCTAAAGATACATGTTAAAAGTCAGCATGAAGGAGTTAGATATCAATGTGATCAGTGTGATTACGCTGCTCCTACAATGACTGTTTTGAAGAAACATACTAAATATAAACATGAAGGATTTAGATATCTTTGTTGTCATTGTGGGGACGTTTCTTCTACTGCAAGTACTCTAAAAAGACATATTCAGGGTAAACATGAAGGGGTGAGATATCCTTGTGACCACTGTGATTACGCTGCTACTCAAATAGGTGATCTAAAGAAACATTTAAAAAGTAAACATATGAAATAAGATTCCCTGTGACTACTGGGAATATGCTGCAACTGCAGAAGATGGTCTGAAGTAACATAATGAAGTAAACTATTCCTGTAATTTTTAGCTTTTAAATATTGTATACATATTTCGTTTTATGTTGTTGATGCATATTTTTACGCAAAACTCTCCCACTACAAGAATTCAAGTTGGCTCGCAATTAATTTCAAATATGAAATGTTCTTAATTTCAATGAAAATGACAGAGAATATAAAAGATGAGAAAGTATTTATCAAGGAAGACATTTCTACTGAAGAGGATACAAGTACTGAATATCTTAAGAAAGAAGACGTTAAAATGAAAATTATTGAAATGTAAGGTTGTCCTTTAATTTTATAATTTTTTAAATTTTAAAAATTTTATAAAATTTCCATATATTGCAGACAACAAGTGGTATATATTGCAGACAACAAGTGGTATATGTATTCTACTGATCTAGAAAGAATGGCAGAGAATATGAATAAAGAAAAGTATCCATCAAGAAAGGAATGCCCACTGTAGAGTGTCTAGAGGATACATTAACTGTATATTGTTTACAGGACGAATGTCTACTGTAGAGGTTGCATGTACTTTATATGTACGGGAAGAAATATCTACTGTAGAGAAAGCATGTACTTTATATGTACTGGATGAAATATCTACTGTTGAGAAAGCATGTGTTTTATATGTACTGGATGAAATATCTACTGTTGAGAAAGCATGTACTTTTGATGTACTGGATGAAAAATCTACTGTTGAGAAAGCATGTACTTTTTATGTACTGGATGAAATATCTACTGTTGAGAAAGCATGTACTTTTTATGTACTAGATGAAAAAGTAAAAGAGGAATTTTCAGAATTTCAAGGTAGTATTTATTGGATCATCTATATATATATATATATTAGTAGTTTTTGTTTGTTTATCCGATAATGATCCATGAACACATAGACCGATTTTTTTCGAACTCTAATTGGAGAATTGATAGAACGACTTACCTATAACAGCCAAACCCGTCCTGTGGGTTTGAAGATTTGTATTATGCTTAATTTTGTTAATAAATGGCCTAAAATTAGTGAAATTATGAATTTTTTTTAACGTTCTTTTTAAAGCATGGTGTTCAGTTGAGGTGCTTTCTAAACAAGACTTACAGAGCTGTTGGCACCCTTTTTCTAGCAACACTTTTAGCTTTTATTGTTACTTTTTATGTGTTCATTATACTATGCAAAAACAACACTTCCCCGGATTTATTTTTGTCATAAATGCCGACATCCGGACAAAGATTTTCAAATTTAACTGTTCATAACCTTTCCAGGGGGTCATGTGAGTTGCCAACAAAATTTTGGCTCGGTCGGTTCAGCCGTTTCGAAATTTTTGGACACAGACAGACAGACAGACAAGCCACATATTTATAAATTAAAACTCACAGATAATTGAATACCAAAGTTATGTTTTATTTTTGTATCATTAAACTTCTTTTATTGATTAAAGATATTATTACAACTTGTATTGGACAAATGAACAAGTGGATTATCATGTTTAACATGAATAAGAGCTGAATCATCTCGTTCAATCTCGTTAGCTGCAACATTGTGATCTTGTATATGTAAAGATTAAAATCAGGCAGAAAATAGATCATTGTATTTTACTATGATTATGATGTTTCAAACACTGATTAGTGGAGATTCTATATATATTGTTTCTATTTTCTTGACAAAATATGAACCACATATTTGTCTCAGTTTTCTTATAAACATTTTTTCATAACGCCCATAGATATAAATAATTAAAACTGTTTTATTATTACATTATTGATGATTCATTTCAGATTTCACCATTAATAAGCATATTTTGCTGATTTTTATTTTTCAGACAGAATGGCAGAGAATATAAAAGAAGAATTGAAATTGAAGAAATAGAGATAAAAGAAGAAAAAAATTGTTTATTTTCTAATTTAGAGGAAACATGTACTTGGAATGTACAAGAAGAAGACTTTAAGATGGAAAATAAAGGTAAAGATGCACTCAGAATTATCAAGATCAGAATTTGGTATTGTTTCTTTATATTTGTAAATTTATACATTATGTTCCAGGGAGAATGGCAGAGAATATGAAAGAAGAAAAAGTATCCATCAAGGAAGAATTGTCTACTGTAGAAAAAACATGTATTATATATGTACAAGAGGATGATGTTAAAATCGAAATTACAGAAACACAAGGTTTTGCTTTTGCCTTTAAGGGGAGTGTCTGGTTAGACACAGTAGTTGAGAATGCAGAATTATAGTGAAAACTTTTAGATATCATTTGAGACCTTTAAGACGTTTGTTCAGTGTATAATTAGAAATGGGCATCATTTTGTGAACGAGCTAAATTTTTGAGAACAAGTAAAATTTTTCACGAAATATTTAGAAAAGAAAAAAAATGAACGACGAACACCTTGAATGTTCACAAAAGAAAAATAACAATTTGTTATTAAATAAATGAAAAAAACGTACGATTTTACTGAACAAATAATCTTTCTGAATGATCGTTCAGTGAGAAAACGAACGAAATGGAGCTGTCTTGGGCAGACCGCCTGCTTTTTAGAGAGTCTCCAGTAATTGAACTGTCTTGGGCGGATCGCCTAGTATAAGTCTTCTCCCTAGGGTGACCAGTTCGGTTAGCCCATGGATACGTTTCGGCGGCTAGGAGGGCCGACCCCTATTTCATTGAATGATGGGTTGTCCTATAATAATAATAATGTAAAATTAATGTAAAATTTGAGAAAAAATAAAAAATCAATTTTTTCAACCATGAAAAATGAACCATTCAAGAAAAATGTACATAAAAAATGATAAAATGCCTATCTTTCCCATTTCTATTTAAAATTGCAAAGTTAGAGCGCAAAATCCATCTTTAAAATCCTCCTGGTCCACGGTCCCTAGGCAGGTTGTAGTGAGGCACGGCTGTCCAGCAGGTTGTGGCGCGACATGGCTACCCAGCAGAGCGACAGGAGGATTTTAAAAAGATTTTGCACTCTTTGCAACTTTACACCGTAGAAACCTCTAATAGCTCTCAAATGATTTCTAAAAAAATTCTCTATTACACTGCTATCTCAGCTTAACACTGTGGTTCTTTTTTATTTATTTAACTTAATGACAAGAATTTACAATGTGCAATGCAGTGTTTTTTCCCAAACTATGGGCCGATTATATTTTTTTTCCGTGAAGTTCTGTTTTTTATCTTTGGATTTCTTTAAATTGACCAAACTTGTAAAGTAGAGCACTTGAATCATTATTATATTTCAATATCTTCCTATTTTTGTTCAGGTGAAATTGTCAAAACTGCAGAAGATCCTCTTCACTCTGAACCAAAGAGATGCAAAAAGAGTAAACTGGGAAAACAAACATATGTTAAGAAACATATTAAATATAAACATGAAGGAGTAAGATATCCATGTGATCAGTGTGAGTTCGCTGCCACCACAGTAGGTAATCTTAAGAAACATATCAGAAATAAACATGAAGGAGTAAGATATCCATGTGACCAGTGTGAGTTCGCTGCCACCACAGTAGGTAATCTTAAGAAACATATCAGAAATAAACATGAAGAAGTAAGATATCCATGCGACCAGTGTGAATACTCTTCCACTTCGCCAGGTTATCTCAGGAATCATATTGAAAATAAACATGAAGGAGTAAAATATTCGTGTAGCAAGTGTGTCTTTGCTGCAAATACAACAGGAGATCTAAAGAAACATATTCTAAATAAACATGAAGGAGTTAGATATCCATGTGACCAGTGTGAATATGCTGCCACTACAACAGGAGATCTAAAGAAACATATTGAATATAAACATGAGGGGCTGAGACACCCTTGTGATCAGTGTGTATACGCTGCTACTACAGCAAGTAATCTGAAAAAACATATTAAAATTAAACATGATGGAGTGAGATATCCCTGTGATCATTGTGAATTCGCTGCTGTTACAGCAGGTCATCTAAAGACACATATTGAAAGTAAACATAAAGGAGTGAGATGTCCTTGTGACCAATGTATGTATGCTGCCACTATAACAAGTGATCTGAAACGGCATAAAAAGAGGAAACATAATAAAATATCTATGTGATCAGTGTGATTTCGCTCCCTCCTGCACAATTAATCTTAGGAAACTATACTTTGAAAATATACATAAAAGGGTGAGATATCCTTGTAACCAATGTGAGTATGTGGCCACTACTAAACAAGTTGGTATTATTACAATTTTTACTATTACAACGATTAATTTACGGCTAAATTATTAAAATATAATGCTATTAATACCTCTCTCGTCACTATATACATAGATTAGATAAACATCCCTCCTGTTTCACCTTTTTATTGTACTTTTGATGTATTTTTGTACTTTTTTCGTATTTTTACCATCATACAAGCATGCATAGCCATGAAATAGTATCTTTAGCTCTCCTTTGATACAATGGGGAACAACAGTTAATAAAATAACAAATACCCTTTTACTGGTCTTCACTCGCATTTCTTCTTATATAATTTCTACATAAACCTTTTTATAAATGTATTTTACTTGACGACGGTGAAAGATATCCATGTGACCAGTGTGAGTATTCTGCCACTGTCGTAATTAATCTGAGGAGATATGTTATAAGTGAGACTTTTATGGAGCTATTTTATTATAAATGCTACGATTAAAGTCTGTGAACTGAAGAAGAAAAACAAAATGTGTTTAGTTAAATGCTTTATCTACGGTATTTAAATATCTAGTTTTTCAATTGATTTATTACACAGTTTAATTTTTCCGCAATACTCCCTTTAAACTGATAAAATTTTCTCCTTTTAATACCTTTAAATAAAGGTTTTGATTGTTTATAATTATGATTATGATTGCAAAGATACGGAGATTAGAATATTAGATTTTGTTACGAGTAATATAATTTAAATTTTGAGATAAAAATCATATTTGTTAATAAAAAATGTGTTTTGAAACTAAATATCGTGCTTTTTAGTGACATGTTGCTCAGTGTACACTGTAAACTTTAAAAACTTTTATGAGTGCATTTGTTCAGTAATATTTTTATATTTGTTTCAGCTCTATCAAATTATGATTTTTTAGACAGAATGGCAGATAATATGAAGGAAGAGAAAGTATCCATCAAGGGAGAAATGTTTTCTGTGGAGGATACATTTACTGTATACGTACAAGAAAAAGATGTAAAAAAAGAAAATACTGACATTTTAGGTTGTGCGAAATTCTTTCCATTTAAAAATCATTATTACCCCAAAAAGTGCTTTTGCCATATTATTGAATTTAATTTTTATAATGGTAGCTTGTTGCACAATGTTTTTAAAACTTGAGCTAAAAGGTTAGTAAGAAAGCAAATGAGGCTCACTGTTATAAATAACGTAATGATATCATTTTGAATTTTCAGAATGTTGTAATGCTGAAGAATGTCATTTACTTTCTAGAAAATTGGTCAAAAAAAGTCAAAATTAGATTTACCCTAAATTTTACGGTCGAATTTACCATTAAATGATCCTAATAGGCCCCCTGACATGAGGCTCACATCTCTATATCTAATGGGAGTGCTGATGGTTACTCGTTTTTCTAAGGCCTAGGTTGTCAAATGAGGATCTAAGTTATTAATAAATTCTCCGTCAATTGAATAAAAAACTTTTAATAATTAAAGGAACTGTAAGCGTAATTTCAAGTTACCTTCCATTTATAAAGAGGAGAGGCAAGTCTGCAATTCATTATACCCTTTAAATTTTTGTCCGGGCAATGATAAGGTAGATACCCTCATTTCTAAAGCTGAAGATTGAGTACTGGGAGACTCAAGGTTAATTTGTGCTAGTGTACACTTGCGCGGTTTCTTGGAACTTGATTTCCCGCTATATAAATAAGAATATCCTCGAAATCCTTGATCAATAAAAGGTTTAATCTTCAAGGGTATCGTTGTAAATCATTCATGCCAATCTATATATGAAAAGTCACTTGAAAATAAGCTTACAGTTCCTTAAGCCTGTGTGGAAGGGGGTTGGGGGGTCATTCTTCCAGTTTCGTATCATTTCCGGGTGATCAAGATTAATGTTTTTGCAACGGAAGATATTTTCTAGCATAGCTATTTATTTATAACGAATGGCCTCAGTTGTCCTCTAAGTGACCTTAGAAAAAACGAGTAGCCCGACCCACCAGCACCCCCATTAGATATTGAGATGTGAGCCTCAGGGTAGGGAGGCTGTTAGGATCGTATACTGGTAAATAGTTAATAATTAAAATCTAAAAAGATTGATTTATTTTTTTATTTTTATTTTTTCAGGTGAAAATAACGAAGAAGATCCCCTTCACACTGAAACAAGAAAACAAGAAAAGAATCGTAAACATGAAGAACGAAGATATGCTTGTGGAGAATGTGATTTTATGTCAAATAAAACGTGTCAACTAAAAAGACACATTAAGAATAAACATGAAGGAGTTAGATATCCCTGTAAACAATGTAATTATGCTGCTACTACATCATATCATCTAAAGACACATGTTCAAAATAAACATGAAGGAGTGAGATATCCCTGTGACCAGTGTGAATTTGCTGCTACTACGACAGGTCGTCTGACGAGACATATTATAAATAAACATGAAGGAGTGAGATATCCCTGTAAACAATGTGACTATGCTGCCAATGATACAACAAGCTTGAAGAGACATATTGAACGAAAACATGAAGGATTAAAATATTTCTGTGACCAGTGTGAGTTTGCTACTTCTACAGGATATTGTCTTAAGCAACATGTTGACAGTAAACATGAGGGTGTGAGATATCCCTGTAACCAGTGTGATTTCGCTGCTACTGCAGCATGCAGTCTTAAAAAACATATTAATAGTAAACATGAGGGAGTCAGGTTTCCCTGTCCCCAGTGTGAATACGCAGCCACTCAAATGGGTAGCTTGAAGAGGCACATCCAAAATAAACATGCTGGAGTGAGATATCCATGTAACCAGTGTGAATACGCTGCCACTACGACAAAAGATCTTAAGAAACATATTTTATATAAACATAGAGGAGTCAAATATCTATGTATTCAATGTGGTTATGCTGCAATTAATACAGGTAATTTGAAGAATCATATTAAAAATAAACACGAGGAAGTGAGATATTCCTGTGACCAGTGTGAATTCGCTGCCACTTCAGTTGGTACTCTAAACAGACATACTAAATATAAACACGAAGGAGTGAGACACCTCTGTGATCAGTGTGAATACACTTTTACCACAGCTGGTCATCTGAAGAATCATATTGAAAATAAACATGAAGGAGTGAGATATCCCTGTGACCAGTGTTTGTACGCCGCCACTTCTAAAAGTAATCTGAGAAGTCATAAAAATAGTAAACATAAGTTATGAGAGTTGTGCTGAAGGATTTTATCTGCATTTAGATTTTCAAGTTATTGATTTATCTTTTCCGCCCTTTACCCTCCATAATTATATAAAAACTAATTTTGAAAGATTAGATCAGGATTGTTTTGTTTCTGTTAAGTAAAAACAGTAACCGTAAAAACAATCATTCTAATAATATATATGTTGGCAACCTGGCGGTTTACACTTTTCATATTTCAAAGTTTAACTTTTGATCCAGCAGAATTCATAATCTGAAAAATCAATTATAATTTATTGAAATGAGCTAATAAGAAAATTATAGTTTGAGGCAAGTAAACAACTACTATAACGGCAACAAATACAAAAAAAGAATTGAGCAAAAAACTTTTTAAGCTGAACTGTTACAACTTTCTGTAATCTGTTCTTCCATCATTTTACCTAGAGTGTTTAGTTTAACTATACGTTTAAATGCTTTAACATTTTTCGAAACCTCTTAATCAGAGGAAACTGAACGTTGTATTTTATTGAGAGGGGTAGCTCATTGTTCACATTATAACTTTATCAATGTGCCTTTCTTTTCAGCTCTAGTTTTATCTTTAATTTAGTTAAATAATTATAACATGTTTTTTTTCAGACAGAATGACAGAGAATATTAAAGAGGAGAATGTATCTATCAAGCAATAAATGTCTACTGTAGAGGAAACATGCACAGTAAAGAAATGTCTACCGTATAGGAAACATGCACTGTAAAGAAATGACTAGTGTAGAGGAAACATGCACTGTAAAGAAATGTNAATTTCTAATAGTTCTCCACACATCTATTTAGTTGAAATATTTTGTTATCATTATTGAAATTAGGTGGGAAAAATAATCAAAACAGCCAAGAGCTATTTTCCACCTAATTGCTTTATACTTGTACTGTTAATATAATCATCAATTTGTAATTGTAAACTCGTTCTGTACACAGATACATGTATTTTAGCAATGAACGTTATCTATCTATCTATCTATCACATGACTTTCATAAAAACTCGTTACATTTACATTATTACACTTTTCCTCAAAAGATTTTTAAAGATCTAGATGTTTATTATCTCCGTATCGAGATTATTTTAAAGATACAAAACTGTTTATATTATTTTTACAAAAAACTATTGTACGATAGTGGCATGTTAATACATTTGTATTTTAGTTAAGAAAATTCTTTAGTTTGCAGATGCATTTTTTCATTTTTTATTTCCAAAATTCATATTAAATTCTGTTTCTAAGGAAAAAAAAACTTTTTCAAGTATTTTGGACGATGGAATTAATAAGAGTTACAGTACTGCTGAGAATAGAGTTCTCTTTTTTGGAGTTAGATTGTGTGAAATTAAAGAACATCATTATCTATTCAAATATTGACAAAACAGCAGTTCCAGAGAAAATTACATGTTATATAGTAAGATGGCATACTGGTCCGCGATTTGTAATGGAAACAAGACATACACAATGTGTGCTGTCGTTTAAAGGAGTATGCGGAAAATAACTCTTATGCATGTTTTCGCATAAACATGCAGGGGTGAGAGTTTTTTATTAATAAATATTGGTGTTAGCTTCATAACAAGGTTCCTTGTTAATATTGAGGCTACATGTTCTAGGATAGTGATTAGTGAAACAAAACAAGATTTGCATCTCTTCTTGTTCATCGTCTCTTGGCTGATACTGCCTTCTCGTCACGGTTCTTTGGACGTTTTCTCGTTGCGGAGGAGTTCGTCTTGGTGATCCACCGGTTCGGGAGACCACTAAAATTAACATAAGATTAACATAATCTATTTTTTCTCAAGTGCAACAAACATGCAATATTACTAATCTTTTTAGGAGTATATACTGTATGTTCTCAGTAAAAGTTTATTTCTCCCCCATTCTTTTTTCCCATTTACGGAGAAGTTCTCTAACTACGTATTGGTCATAGGCCTGAACCCCATACCCCTTACCTTTTTAACCCCCCCCCCCTCCCCTCCTCGAAAAGCATTAGTTTTACCCTTGTTTATTTTTAAATTCAGATGAAAGAATGAATAACGAAGAAGATATTCTTTTCACAGAACCTAAGAGACTCAAGAAGAGCTAACATGAAGAAGGAAGATATACTTGTGATGAATGTGATCATATTGCAACTAGAGCTAGAAATCTCAAGAAACAGAAAAGTTGTAAACAAAAAGGAGTGAGATATTCCTGTGACCAGTGTGAATACGCTGCACCTAGTACTTCTAGTCTAAAAAAACATATTGGAGATATACATGAAGGATACCCTTGTGGTGATTGTGATTATGTGGCAACTCTAGCTAAATGTCTCAAGAGACATATTAGACACAAACATGAAGGAGTGAGATACCCCTGTGACCAGTGTGAATACGCTGCAACTTCTATAAGTCATCTGAATATACATATTAAAAATAACACGAAGGGGTCAGATTTCCATGTAATCAGTATGAATACTATTTAACTTCTACTAGTCAACAAGAGACATATTGAGAATCTACACGATGGAGTCAGATATCCATGTAACCAGCGTGAATACACTGCCAATTCCACAAGTTATCTGAAGATACACATTGCATCTAAACACGACGGTGTCAGGTTTCCATGTAACCAGTGTGAATACACTGCCACTGCTAAAGACCATGTGATTAGTGTGAATATATTGCTATTTCTAAATTCTGTCTATCGAGACATTTAAAAATTAAACACGAAGAATGATATATCCTTGTGATCGTTGTGAATACACTACTTATTCTAAAAGCTGTCTAAGGAAGCACATTGAAAATAAACATGAAAGAGTGAGATATTACTGTGATCAGTGTGATTACGCTGCTACTACATTACCAGCTCTGAAGATACATATTAAAATTTAGTATGAAGGAGTGAGATATCCATGTGATCAGTGTGATTACGCTGCTACTACAACGACTGTTCTAAAGAAACGTACTAAATATAAACATTAAGGATTAAGCTATATTTGTTGTCATTGTGGCCACGGTGCTTCTACTGCAAGTATTCTAAAAAGACATATTCAGGGTAAACATGAAGGATATAAGATATCCTTGTGACCACTGTGATAACGCTGCTACTCAAATTGGTGACCTAAAGAAACATTTAAAAAGTAAACATATGAAATAAGATTCCCTGTGACTACTGGGAATATGCTGCAACTGCAGAAGATGGTCTGAAGTAACATAATGAAGTAAACTATCCCTGTAATTTTTAACTTTTATATATTATATATATATATATTTCGTTTAATGTTGTTGACGCATATTTTTACGCAAAACTCTCCCACTAAAAGAATACACGTTGGCTCGCATTAATTTCAAATATGAAATGTTTTTAAATTCAATGAAAATGACAGAGAATATAAAAGATGTGAATTGTGAAATACTTTCAATCAAATACCCATGCGTATCTCTAGGCACATTATAAAGAATTCTAATAGCAATATTCCATGCTGTATACAATTTTGAAACACATTGGGAATTCAAGTCTCAAATACTGGATCCATAAAAACTAAAAAATAAATATTATAAAGTTTTAAAACAACATCTGTATTGTTACGAATACATATGATAAATATAAACAATTTGGAGCAAATAGCTGCATCAGCATTGGGCAAGAATTCCACAATATGCTTCATCAGAGAAATTGGACACCTCTGCATGGATCACACGCAGTAACTTTCTCTTACACTTAATTTGATATTTCTGGCGCCAAGATATCTAATAAAAGAATAGTATGAAAAGAAAATTGCCAAAAAGAGAGCTGTAGCTCTGGGAAATATGCTGAATATTTGCGGAGAAACAAAAGCAGAAATATGTATCAAAATGCAACAGAAAAAACAGAAAAAAACAGATGTATGATCAGCTAAATAGAAGATAGAACAGCCAAACAATAAATTCACTGCTATGTTTCAAAAAATTTAAAACTAAAATTCAATATAAATGTTTAAAAAAACTGTATAAAAGTTAGTCGACCACCCCTATATTAGTGCTTGCATATATAACTAAGTAAATAGAAAAACTGTGCATCTTAGAGGTTGGTGTAATCTCTACCGTGGCTTAGAAGATTTTTGCCCTACTCTCCTAGAAATCCTAATTTTCAGAGAATAATGCATTAGCAAAATATAATAATACTAGCTCAAGTGCCCGGATTCGAATTTTTTAAAAATCTAATTTTTTTGGCCTATGAGGGTTCCTTAAAAAAACTTCATTCAATTCAGTCCATTCATTTCTGATCTAAAAAGGAAATTTAACTTTCTAGTAAGGGATGATTTTATTTCTCGTAAGGAAGTTGAGCGTACACCTGATATACTACATAATGTACGATTTCATAAAATTCTTACAAAAGAAAGGAACAGTTCATTTCTAATGCAGTAGGTTCATATGACAGTATATTTATATTTAAAATTCGGTGATGCTGATGGACCAAACATCTGTAGAGTAAAAAAAAGTAGTTGTTCCTTCCATATTTATTGAAAATATATTTCGGTCTAGGTTAACCATCGTCAGTTCTAACGATATGATAACCATCAAAATCGCTAAAAAAAATGTTAAAAACCAAATAAAAAGATTAAAAAAATTGGACTGTCCAATGGAAAAAAGGAAAACGAACTCAGATCATAAGTTGGGAAAAAGATAATTTGCAAATATGCACTTTTTAAAAAATTATTCGTTTTTTATAACAATCCTTTTGTTTTCGTTTTTTCGTCGTCGTTTTCATAATGAAACGATCGTTTTTCAAAAAAAATTAAAATGATACATCCCTAGTTACAGGGGTATTTTACTCCTTCATGTTTATTATTTAATATGTGTCTTAAGACTTTCTTTTGTTTTAGCGTCGTGTACACACTGGTTATAGGAATATCTCTCTCCTTAATGTTTGTTTTCAATATGTTTCTTTAGATGACTTGTGGATTTCGAAGCGTATTCACACTGGTCACAGGGATATCTTACTCCTCCATGTTTGTATTTAATATGGTTGCTCAGACTACCTGTGGTAGTGGCAGCGTATTCACATTGATCACATAAATATCTCACTCCTTCATGTTTATTTTTAATATGTTTCCTAAGAATAATTGTTGTAGTAGCAGTGTATTCAACACTGATAACATTGATACCTCACTCATTCATGTATGTTTTCAATATGTCTCTTCAGAGAAGTTGTCGAAGTTGCAGCGTATTCACAGTGTTCACAGGGATATCTAACTCCTTCGTGTTTATTTTCAAAATGTTTCTTAAGCTTACATGTTGTAGTGGCAGCATATGTACATTACCTACAGGGATATCCTACCCCTTCATGTTTATATTTAATATGGTTTTACAGACTACCTGTGGTATTAGCAGCGAATTCACACGGATATCACTTCTTCATGTTTATTTTCAATATGTCTCTTGAGATTTACAGCTTGGGTTGCCAAATAATCACATTTCTCACAGGGATATGTTTGTTTTCCCAGTTTACTTTTCTTGCATCTCTTTGGTTCTGAGTTAAAAGAATCTTCTAAAGTTTTGACAATTTCACCTGAAAAATAAGAAAGAAATTCAAATAAAAATGATTCAAGTGCTCTGGTATACAAATAAAAACCAGAACTTCACGGAATTAAAAAATTATCATCAAATCACTGGATGGGAAAGAACACTGTACTGCACATTGTAAATTCTTATCATTAAGTTATATAGATTTCAATAAAAACACAGTGATTGGATATCAAGCTATCTGTGGTCCAAGGAATATTAAGGGTTCGGAAGAAGGTGTGAAGTTAACTGTGGTTCAGAAGGTTTGCCCCTCCCTCTTTAAAACCACGTTTTTTATTTCAAATTTACCTAATAATAATATTCTTAAAAATGTTTCTAAAAAAAGGTTTTTCTAATCTAGTATTTATTTCTGTTTTTTAAAAAAAATTTCAGGATTAAAATAAGTAAATAAAGATATTTTAATGAAGTTATATCTTACTTTCTATCTTCATTTCTTCACCCTGTACATAAAACTGTACACATATTTTCTGCAGTAGAACCTGGAAGAATTTCTTCCTTCCCTGATAGAAACTGTTTCTTCTTTCATCTCAAACTCTTCCAACTTTATTTCTTATGGCGTATTACCAAAAGTATAACCTAAAATGAAACCGTTTAAAATTTAAAATTAAACGCTCGTGAGGTTTAGAACCCCAAAAAGGTCTTGGAGGCCATCGGCTAAGTGGTTTTCCCCTCAATTCAACTATCCTCCCTTAATCTTCCTATTAAGTAATAATTAATATTTAAAGAACTTCTAACGCTTTTTGATCAAGGAATTGAAGTGAGAAAAACTAGTAAAATAGACATTTTTTAAAAATAACCAAAAAAAGGTCATAAATTTCCACCTTTAATTTCTGCATTTTCCATCTGAACATCTTCTTCCTGCACATCCTCAGTACATGTTTCCACTAAATGAAAAAATTTTTTCCCTGATCTCTATTTCTTCCATACCTAATTCTTCTTTTATATTCTCTGCCATTCTATCTGAAATGTAAAAATTAAAAAAGTGATATGCAAACGAATCAATAATGTTTACTTTTCATGTGTCTCTTTAGGGCACTTATTTGTGTAGCAACGTATTCACACTGATTACAGGGATACCTCACTCCTTCATGTTCCTTTTCAATATGTTTCTTAAGATTACCCACGGTGGTGGCAGCGTATTCACACTGATCACATGGATATCTCACTCCTTCATGTTTATTTTTAATATGCTTCTTAAGATTAATTGTACTAGACGCCGCGTATTCACACTGGTCACACGGATATTTCACTCCTTGATGTTTATTTTCAATATGATTCCTAAGATTAAATGTGCTACAGGAAGCGAAATCGCACTGATCACATAAATATTTCACTCCTTCATGTTTGATTTCAATATGTCTCTTCAGATTAGCTGTTGTAGTGGCAGCGTATTCACACTTATTACATGGATATCTCACTCCTTCATGTTTATATTCAATATGTTTCTTAAGATCTGTTGTTGTAGATGCCGCGTATTCACAACGGTTACAGGGATATCTCACTCCTTCATGTTTGTATTCAACATGTTTCTTCAGATGACTTTTTGTAGTGGCAGCATATTCACAGTGTGCACAGGGATATCTGACACCTTCATGTTTGTATTCAATATGTCTCTTTAGACACTCCGCTCGGGTTGCCACATAATCACATTTCCAACAGGGATATTCTTGTCCCCCTAGTTTTATCTTTTTGTGTCTTTTTGATATTAAGTGACCAGATTCTTCTTTGGTATTTACAATTACTCCTGAAAAATAATAACATATAAGTACAATACTTTTGTAATCTACGTCGTTTAACTTTAAGAAATTTAGAGATTCTTCACGTAGAAAATTTTGTTAGAAAATGTTTTAGCGAACCCTGTTCAGCAAGCCCTGAAAGGAAATAGTATACGCGGCCGGAAATCACTTGTGCAGTACACATCTTAACGTACACAAGTTGTGCATCGTTGTAATTAATATTCAATCTTTGTTTTTCTTACTTAAGACAAGGAAGGCAAACTATACTTGAATTTGTGTTTGTACACAAATTTACGATTTCGCTTTCAGATTCCAAACAATCAAAACGCTAAGGAGATATTCAGAAAATATGAGCTAGCCAGATAATGAATGTTAAAAATTTTTCGAAGTGAGAGAATCATAATAATTGTTTCCTCCCTCCAAATTTCAAAAAAGAAAACTTTATTTGATAATATAACCGTAATTTCATGGAATTAAAAATTAATCGACAATTGACAGAATGAATGGAAAATACTCCATAAATCAAACAACTCTACATTAGAAACATGAGGCTCATTGGTTATCCAATATAGGTGGTCAAAGAAAAATTTATGGGGCTCACAGGTGTGACGTCTAGTGTGGTGGCTCAGAGGATTATGCCTCCTCCCTTTGAAATCCCAAATATTTACACCAATTACATATTGATTTTCAAATCTACCTTATATTGAAAATATTTCCAACTTTTGTTTCTATTTGTTTTTAAAAGGGGGGGATGGGCACAAAAAGTATTATAATACTCTCCGGAAAATTTAAACAGTGTTTAAACATAACCAACTAGTAGCGAGCTATCACGTTTTGGGTCACCAATTCACATATTTTTTTAGTTGTATGTCAACTTACAGGTAATTTGGCACAAAAAATTCATTTCTGATGTCAAATTAATTATTGGAGCATTTTGACGGGTGCGCTAGTAGCCAGCTGTTACCTTATTGGTCAACTTAGCACAGATTTGCATGTTGTACGTCAATTTATAGGTAAATGGGCACCAGGATTCATTTCTGTGGTCAATGAATGTTGGAACATTCTGGGCAGAGTGCTTATCGCCAGCTGTTACGTTGTGAGTCATCTTTCCACATATTTTACATGTTGGATGTCATTTTACAGGCAACTGGCCTCGGTGAAAACTCAGAAAATCATTTCTGATGTAAAAATAAATATTGGAGCACTCTGATCGGCGCGCTAGCAGCTAGCGGTTCCCTTGCAAATCATCCTACATGCAGTAAGTAGATCTTAGATAACTAGACCCAAGGATTATAATTCTTGGGAATAAATTTTACTTGAAAACTCTGATCGTTGCGCTGTAGTTATCGGATAAATTTGGCATAGATTGACATGTTGTTTATCTTTTATAAGTACTTTGACTAGAGGGATCCAATTCTGTTGTACAAACCAGTTTAAAAGCACTCAGGTGGCCTTCTCGGGGCCACAATAGTATAATTGGACTATTTACAATGTTTTTTTCATGTAGTATGTCAGTAATTAGGTATCAGACTAGAGAAACCCGTCTTAAGGAAAATATCCAGCAAAGAATTCTGATAAAACTAGAGGACCAGGACACCTTATAGTAAACATGCTTCATCCTACCAAAATGCACGATCTATCTGAAAACATCTTCAGATTTCTTAAAATCCTAGTTAATAGAATCTGAAAATAATCAACCATTGTATTTAAAATAAAAGATATGGGAAATGTCTTGATTTGAGGTTGACAAATCAGGAGCTATACTACATAAGAAAACTTTTGTAAAATGTTTCATTCTTAATATCATGGATTCTAGCATGCTTAAAAACTAGCTTTGAGAACAGGAATGAATACATCAGGTCGAATCACCTATAAAATGACAAACAACATGAATAACTACAGTGATAACCAAAAAACGGTGGAATTGGGTCTGTTTACACTAAACAATTGCTGTGTCTCATGTACACTGGAATATTTAAAGTCATAACTTTAGTCTATTAGTTGTCTTCATATACCAGAGTTTTCTAGTTATAACTGTATGATAATTATCTTCTTGCCAGCAGCGCGCCGATCAGAATGATTAGCATAAAAATGAATTCTTGGGCCTAGTTACCTAAAATAGACATATATGTAAAACAGATAGATGCAGGCTGTTAATTCTCCTATCAGATGGCGTTGTCCATATTTAACCAAGAAAATTGACTAATCGTGCCCAATTACCTTTAAATTGACATACAACATGTAACATCTGTTGTAATATGACCCATAATCTAACTCTGACTTCAAGCGCACCGGTCAGACTGCTCCATTATTTATTTGACATCGGAAATGAATTTCTCGTGCCCAATTACCTGCAAATTGACATAAAACTTGAAAAATATGTGGTTAGATGACCCAAAACGTAATAGCTGGCTACTGGCGCGCCGATCAGAGTACTCAAACTACTTTTTTGACCCAAGAAATAGAATCCCTGTGCCTAAATACCTAATTATCGACATATGGCAAGTAAAACTTTTGGCAAGATGACCCATACTGAAATATCTATAGCTACTACTTGCGCCGATCAGAACGCTCGAAGGTCTGTTTTGACCACAGAAATGAATTTCTCGTCCCAATTTATCTGTAGTTTGATTATCACATGCTACTTTTGTTTTGAATAATGCCACAATTGTAAAAGTTAAGAATCTCAAATATTTTCTAAAATGTGTGCGCGCCTGGGATTTGAGGCTTTTTTTGCGCAAAACTTTACAGGGATTACATGTTTAAAAGCATCTTTAGGCAAATTTAACTTCATTTTATGGTGTCAAGATCGCAAAATTGAAAGAAAAAAGTAACTTTTTCCACGGACTTTCTTAAAACTTAATTTTACAATTACAATACATAATTTTAAGGTCACATGCAAAAAATCAGCGTTATACGACAATTTTTAGTCATGTTTTATCACTGTATAAATTTTCCGGAGTGCAATAGTTTTGTGCCCCCCCCCCCCCCCCAACCTTATATCTTAAGGTTAAATTTTTAGGTTTTAATTAAATTTTCTTTATAATCATTTATGGCTTATTGTTTACTTTTCATCTTCACGTCTTGCCCCTGGTCACAGGGATATCCCATTCCTTCGTGTTTAATTTCAATATGTCTCCTTAAACTATCTGCTGTAATGGCAGCGAATTCACACTGGTCACATGGATATCTTACTCCTTCATGTTTATATTTAATATGTATTTTAAGACTTTCAACTGTAGTAGCAACGTATTCACACTGGTCACAGGGATATCTCACTCCTTTATGCATACTGTCAATATGTCTCTTAAGATCTCCTGTCGTAGTGACAGCGTATTCACAATGATCACAGGGATATCTCACTCCTTCGTGCATACTGTCAATATGTCTCTTTAAATTATTTACTGTTGTGGCGGCATATTCACAGTGTTTACAGGGATATCTCACTCCCTCATGCTTATTTCTAACATGTTTCTTTAAATCGCCTGCTTGAGTGGCAGCATATTCACAGTATTTACAGGGATATCTCACTCCCTCATGTATACTTTCAACATGCCTCTTCAAATCACTTGCTGTAGTGGCAGCATATTCACAGTGTTTACAGGGATATCTCACTCCCTCATGTATACTTTCAACATGCCTCTTCAAATCACTTGCTGTAGTGGCAGCATATTCACAGTGTTCACAGGGATATCTCACTCCTTCATGTATACTTTCAACATGCCTCTTCAAATCACTTGCTGTAGTGGCAGCATATTCACAGTGTTCACAGGGATATCTCACTCCCTTATGCTTACGTTTAACATGTTTTTTCAGACCACCTGCTGTAGGCGCGCTGTAGTCACACTGGCCACATGGATATCTCACTCCTTTATGTTTATTTTCAATGTGGTTCTTCAGATTACCAGCATGTGTTGCCAAATAATTACAATCACAACAACTTGATCTTACTTCCTCACGGTTTCTCTTAAGTCTTCTTGGTTGAGAGTAAAGAGGATCTTCTTCATTATTAATGATAGGACCTGAAAATTTAAATAGAAGTATTAAAGTTTAATAAAAGTATCTCAAATGTGTTTAATTATATATGCTCTTTGTACTTAAGAAAAATCATCATTAGAGAATATGTCGTTTGTCACACTACATTTGCCCTCATTAAAATTAGAATCATTTTATTTTATCTTAAAAATGTCAAAGACGATCCTTAAGACAGTGCTACAAACAGTGCTATAGACAGTGCTACAAACAGTGCTGAAGACAGTGCTAAAGACAGTGCTAAAGACAGTGCTAAAGACAGTGCTAAAGACAGTGGTAAAGACAGTGCTACAAACAGTGCTAAATACAGTGCTAAAGACAGTGCAATAGACAGTGCTAAAGACAGTGCAAAAGACAGTGGTAAAGACAGTGCTAAAGACAGTAGTAAAGACAGTGCAACAGAAAGTAGTAAAGAAAAACCGGAAAAGAACCAAGATACAATATTGAAGAAAAAATTTACTTCTTACTTTTCAGTTCTGTACTTCCCGTCTTCATGTTCTCTCCCTGTACATAAACTGTACAAGTATCTTCTACAGTAGAACCTGGAAGAATTTCTTTCTTGATGGAAACTGTTTCTTCTTTCATCTCAAACATATTTTCAGCAATTACATCTAGAATAAAATCTGTTTTACAAATTCTAAACTCCCATAAAATTTATATTTCGAATAATAATTTTAATAAATATATATGTAAATTAAAAGTATTGTGCTAATAAAGTAGGGTGAGTTAAATAGCATTTTTCAATTAACTTTAATTTCCCTATTTTGGCCTGATCGCTTACCTTTGATTTCTGTATTTTCAATCTTAACTTCTTCCTGTACATCCCAAGTACATGCTTCCTCTAAACTAGAAGATGGACAAATTTCTTTTTTGATGAGAACTATTTCTTCTTTCATAATTTCTGCCATTCTATCTGAAATATAAAAACAATAATCAAGATATTTAATAGACCAAAATGAAGAACACAGAATAACGTGCATGCTAATCTTATTACTAATAAATATTCATGAATAGTTTCTAATAAACCAGATGTGTAAAAAATTTAGCAAGCAATTTTTACAAAAAAAACACAATGAAATTTGTAGAAACCAATAAAGAAAAATTACGGAGCTCCTGCTCACACTGATTCAACCTGGATTTATTGATTAAATGCAGATATAATCTACATGTGTTTCCATATTATGTGATTTTACTTCCTCTGATTAGGTAATGGTCAAAGGGATATCTTACTCCTAATGTTTTCTTTTTGTGAGGTTCTTTTGGTCCTCTATTTGAGTAGCTATGGTCACAGAAATTCAATAATTGTTTACTTGTTTACTTGAAGTTTTGAATCAAGTGCTCCACTGATAGAGACATTGTAGTAAAGACTTGAAAAGAATTCAGTATTAAAAAGCTAAGTTTGAATGGAATAACAAAGCATGGTTGCACACACATTATATTTACATTATAACGTTACAAGTGATTATTGTTGGACCAACTAGAGTTGATCTAAATATATTTGTCATTCACCTAGGGGCGAATATATTTCCATTGACTCTTCCCATCAGATGCTTTGTGCTAACTAACTCCCCTATGGAACTCCGGGGCTGAGATCGCTGACAAACTGCTTTCTCTGCCGACAAGATAAATGCGTTCTCTAGATAAGAAAGAAGGCTCAATACCCTCTAAATTGCAACTCCTTTCTCCAACATCGGTCCTTGCACACTGAAGCCAGCGAGGGGGTATCTCTAGATAATAGAAAAGGTTCAATAACCTTGTCCCCCTAAACTGTTATTTATTGAAGACTGCAACATACCCAGAGTTCAATATCTTTTTGGACTAGATTGTTTGGCTTTATTCTTAGAGGAGGAAATATTTCCAATTGACCTCAAATTTGGCTATGAATTTAGTGTTGGACTTATTTATTTTTCTTTTAGGCAAACTGTTGGATGAGCTTCTACCTTACACTGAGCTACTATACAAAATTTAAATCATTGGAATTTGTAAAATCTTTATAAATGATGTTATTTGTTATCTTATTCTTAATTTTAAAATTAACGTTTTATAGCTAATGTAATTCTTTTTGTAAACAAAGTGTTTAACCACCAAAATTTAAGGATAATCATTTTTTGGTAATTTTTAAAAGAGACAATTTCTGACCATTTCTTTGAAACGTAATTTTCCAGCTTCTTTATCCAAATAAGAACTGGGAGTGAATGTATAGTAGTATCTTGTCTACGGACCAATAATGAAAAATACTTCTAAAGTCGATCTATCCATTTAAAATATAGTATTGTACTGTACTTTTCATAAGTTATGTACTAATTAATTAAATTTTTGTCTAGACTAAGTTATCTTGCAATACTTGTTTAATGGAAATGAATTGATTTAGAAAACCTCAATTAGAAATTTAACCTTGGAGGGGATTCAGACATGTCTTGATGTCAAAAAACGAACTTAAAGAAAGAAGAAATAGATCATCCTATAGATCTGCTCGGCAAAAGTAAGATCAGAAGAAATATTATTAATCCAAAATATTTCAAATAGTTGGAGAATTCAGAAAATTTGATTTAAAAAGAAACCAGAAATTTAAATTGTTTTATTTATTTATAGTAAATCATTTTAAAAGTTAAATAGAAACTATCTATAGGAGCCAACTAGACCTGAAATACATCAGTTCTAAATCTAGGACTGGATCAAAAGATTAGAGAAAAGAAATGGAAAAAACTAAGTAATGAAAAAAACATATTCATCTAATAATTAGGGAATAAATTTCCCTAATGAAATTCAAGCTCATTATCTTAAAACCTTTAGTTTTTAAAGTTTACAAATGTTTAAATAAGTTTTCTATTGTCGTAATTTAAAATGGGAGTTTCCGTCATACTATGCCTTTGTTCTATTATAAATCCGCGCCGCGAATAAAATTAGATATGAAAATGTTAAGAAATAAAATTAATTAGAACAGTACATCCTGTTCAGTAGATTTGTAGATTTTAACAAATAGGTTTTGCGGATTTCCAATTTTACAAAAAGAATATTGGAATTATTTCCATTTGCTAAAAATATAATAATATTCAAAAGATTAAACATATATATAACTGAGAAAACCATTCTTAATAAATATGATAATAATTTATCTACAATATTATATTAAATTTAAGTTAGATGATGAATCACTGAGCTTAGAATAAAAAGGATTATTATATAAACATTTGTAAACTTTGAAAAAATAGATTAATGAACTATATAAATCATACACACATTATAAAAAATAAATTAAAAACATCAATATTTATTTTTGATTCAAAACTAGATCACAATTCAGTTCTGCATGAAAAAATCAGAGAAATCTCTAGTAATAGAGTCTAGAATTGAGTTTCCCGACCCAAAGTTGATGACTTTAGACAGGGGAAAAATCAGTGGAAAAGTTATTTTTTTTCCTACTTTGGTTTTGGATATTTGTATGGAAATGTGGACATTCCCCTTTAACTTGTTTTACCCTTTCCATGAATTAGCTCATAATAAGATAATATTTAAAGTTTAATGATGCGCACTAAAAAACATTTGTTAAACATGTTAAACATATGTTAAAAATAAATTCCGCATGAACAATGGCTTTTAAACATTTTCATTGTCTACTCTTTGGTTTTTGTGAATATTAGAATTTGAAGAAAATGGCAAAGTGATTTGCAGTGTAAACAGACCAACTTCACTGAAAAAGTGATTGAATAAGTTACTAATAAAACTATTAGCTTTGTAACAGCATCAAATACACTTAATTATTACTTTAATATCGTCTTCATTTGCCACAGTTTTCTGGTTCTCACTGTAAAAGAGTGTAAATTGGAAAAGCATTTAGCATCTTTTTCTAAATTTAATAAAAATGAAACTTACGGAAGACTTTGTTCGACACTAATTTCAACGATAAACCCTTCTGTAAACAATCTCAATTGGGATCACAATCAAGAATGGCCAAAAAAATGTCTATCCATAGATTACTTGAATTTAAAGTAAAACATATCAGGTCTTCCATAATAGATAATATGCGTTATGTTAACTTTTAATTGTGGACAACTTTGATGGAATTTTGAAAAACATTAATTGAATCCAATAAAACATGAATTGATCAAAATACTAAAATTTTGATCAGAATTTTATTGTGACTAAAAATATAAAACCAAGCAGCCTGCAGTGAATTCACAGTTGGGTTGTCTTATTGTATCAATATATCAGCCTGGGTGCGACTGTCACAAATCATTTAATATCGACAATATCTTACTCATCGTTACTCAGATATAAGTTTAAAGATACATTGCGTATTTGTTTAAAATTCAGATATCAATGTTAAGAGAGAGTAGGAAAAATGGAATCGCGGTTTCTCTTTCTTTCCTCTACATTCTTTACTATGTTCTAACAGGTATACCATAAAGGGTTTGAGTAGACAGGTATACCTTGAAGGGCCAGAGTAGACAGGTATACCTTGAAGGTTCAGTGTAGAATGGTATACCTTGAAGGGTTAGAGTAGACAGGTATACCTTGAAGGGTCAGAGTAGACAGGTATACCATAAAGGGTTAGAGTAGACAGGTATACCTTGAAGGGTCAGAGTAGACAGGCATACCTTGAAGGTTCAGAGTAGAATGGTATACCTTGAAGGGTTATAGTAGACAGGTATACCATGAAGGGTTAGAGTAGACAGGTATACCATGAAGGGTCAGAGTAGACAGGTAAACCATGAAGGTTCAGAGTAGACAGGTATACCTTGAAGGGTCAGAGTAGACAGTAATACCTTGAAGGGTCAAAGTAGACAGGTATAATATGAAGGTTCAGAGTAGACAGGTATACCTTGAAGGGTCATAGTAGACAGGTATACCTTGAAGGGTCAGAGTAGACAGGTATATCTTGAAGGTTCATAGTAGACAGGTATACCATGAAGGGTCAGAGTAGACAGGTAAACCTTGAAGGGTCAGGAGTAGACAGGTATACGTTGAAGGGTCAGAGTAGACAGGTATACCTTGAAGGGTAAGAGTAGACAGGTATACCTTGAAGGGTCAGAGTAGACAGGTATACCATGAAGAGTCAGAGTAGACAGATATATCTTGAAGGTAGACAGGTATACTTTGAAGGTTCAGAGTAGACAGGTATACCTTGAAGGGTTAGAATAGACAGGTATACCTTGAAGGGTCAGATTAGACAGGTATACCTTGAAGGGTTAGAGTAGACAGGTATACCTTGAAGGGTCAGAGTAGACAGGTATACCTTGAAGGGTTAGAGTAGACAGGTATACCATGAAGGATCAGAGTAAACAGATATACCTTGAAGGGTTAGATTAGACAGGTATAGCTTGCAGAAGGGTCAGAGTAGACAGGTATAGCTTGAAGAAGGGTCAGATTAGACAGGGCTCGTTGACACTTTCAAATTAGTTCGTTAAATTAAAGATGTAAAATTTATATAAAAATTTAAAGATTAAAGACCGTTCCCTTTTCTATGACAAAGTCCTCTGAAATTGTTGATGTACCCGTTGGACTCGTCACTTGTTTGTCACAAAAAATTATCGAAATTTCCCGTAAGATGTTCTTTCATTATGCACTTTTTTTCATTCCTTTTTTTAAAAGGATTTTTTTGTAACATTGGTATACTTTTGTAATTTTTTTGAACAACAATCTTTTCCATGTAACATAAAAAGTTTGTTTCAACTTCCTCACGAAAATACGTATTTATAGAAGAAAGTTATATTGGCCGTGGGTCAGCTTATCATACTTGTAAAGTTTCAGGTAAATTAAAACATAATATAGTTACACTTTGATTAAAGGGACAATCAACATAATCTAGTTACACGTTGATTAAAGGGACAATCAACATAATCTAGTTACACGTTGATTAAAGGGACAATCAACATAATCTAGTTACACGTTGATTAAAGGGACAATCAACATAATATAGTCACACTTTGATTAAAGGGACAATCAACATCATCTAGTTACACGTTGATTAAAGGGACAATCAACATAATCTAGTTACACTTTGATTAAAGGGACAATCAACATAATATAGTAACACGTTGATTAAAGGGACAATCAACATAATCTAGTTACACGTTGATTAAAGGGACAATCAACATAATCTAGTTACACTTTTATTTAAGGGATTTGAGTTACTTTTTAATTAAAGGGATCTAGTGATGCAGCGTTACTGCCTTTATCATAAATCTAAGTTAAGACCATAAAATAGAATTGTAAAACACAATTTTTAATTAGTCTTCACTGGAGATTTCAGGGGGGGGAATGATCCCCCATAGCACCCCCCTGAACACACCTCTGAGATTAGTATTTGTATAAAATGAATACACATAATCTTTATTTATTTTGGATTGAACTTATTATTTTTTTGTTCTAAATTATTAGATTCTAGAGTTAATATGACGACGCTTAATATTTCACAAAAAGATCCACGCACAGCATTAAAATAATAATGATGATAAAAATGATGGTGATGATAATTTCATGAATAAAGATCTTAATTATAATAATGATTAAGGGGAATAGCTATAAATTTTGATATTGGTATTGAAACTGAGGATGATTACTGTGTGCCCAAGTAAGGAATTTTATTCTAATTTAACCTTTAAACTCCAGTTCTCCATTATATATAAAAAAAATAGGAAGAACAAACTATTTAATAGATGAATTGAAAATATTTGTCGGAAATTCGTTTAAATTTATATTTCAAAGGGATTTTATTAATCTAAAGCAATGCAAATTTGAAAACAGAACTGAAAAATTGAAAGCGCTAAAAAAAGGCAATTCGCCTAATTACTGCGCATACAATTTGACACAACAATTAATTATCACACCCCCCCCCCTTCACCCCCTCAAAAGATATTCCAATAAACCCTATACCTATGTAGTTGCAACCTAATGTTCTATACCTCTGATATTTCAAATTGAAAATTATGTTGGGTCAAAAAACCAAAATTTGTAATATCAAAGGTTCAAAGATCAGATTTAAGGATTATAAAATTTTAATGTGCGCCCTTGAAAATTTTGCTTTTAAGAAATTGTATGTTTTTAATGGGAGTGATTGGCTAAGTAAGGTAGTTGGTAGTTCAACCTAGCCAGCCACTCCCTTTACAGTTGGCATTCCCTGTATGCACTATTGCTTTAGAATTATGAATTTTATTTGGTTTGGAGAAATGGTTTCGATAAAGTACCAGGAAAATATTATAAGATGCGCGAACTTGAACCCAGATTATCAGGTATGATCTAAATTTTACGCTTATTAAAGAGCTATTGAGAAGAACAAAAATGTTTTAATTTTTAAAATTTTTTAATTGAACCGGATAAATTTGTTTTCTCATACTTGTGCGTTAAATCAAACTTATAGGGGACACGAGGTCACTAAGTCGTTCTAGTAATGTCACATAAATTTGGCCTTCTCACTCCTCGTGAGGTTTTTGAGATTTCCTGGCCAATTGATAATTGAAGTTTTTGAGATTTCCTGGCTAATAAATAATTGAAGTTTTTGAGATTTCCTGGCTAATTAATAATTGAAGTTCTTGAGATTTCCTGGCTAATAAATAATTGAAGTTTTTGAGATTTCCTGGCTAATAAATAATTGAAGTTCTTGAGATTTCCTGGCTAATTAATAATTGAAGTTTTTGAGATTTCCTGGCTAATAAATAATTGAAGTTTTTGAGATTTCCTGGCTAATTAATAATTGAAGTTTTTGAGATTTCCTTGCTAATTAATAATTGAAGTTTTTGCTAGTTCCAGCTGAACTTGTGCCATACATTTAAAGATTGTTGCCTCTCTTTAAACATTCTGATATTTCAAACATTTCAAAGCTGAAAAAAAAACATAAAAAATATTTTATTTTTTTTGTGAAAATAAATACCCTTGGTTTTCAGGTTCAGCTCTGGACAGAGATTATTACGGAAGAATTAAAATCTAACTTTTCTAATGTTCACTTAATTGATATCAATAAGTAAGCTAGGTGGCTTCTTTAAATTTGGGTGGATTTTTCCCAAATGATATTTTGCAATAAACTAAAAATTATAATCTCTATATATTTGCAACTTGATGTCGTAGATCTTTGATATTTCAAACTATAAATTCTGTTAGACCATAAAGCCTAAGTTTAAAACATTACAGGTTTACACAATCAGGTTTCAAAGAATTAAGGAGTAGAAAAACTCACTTCCTATTGCAGAAAATTGGAAAACGATATTTTACCTGAGCTGAAAACTTTTGAATTGAACATCTTTAATCCCAAATGCTAAATCTCTGTATCCGCTGTGGACACTTTTGATTTTCTCTGAAACCTCTCTTTTGGATATCCCTAGTTGGATTCCGACCAATGAAAGTTCTCTGATTGATCGTGGGCAAAACCTCACAATTTCTCGGCTTCTGATTGGTCGTTCCTTTCTACAATTAACACTCGGATTGGTTGCATTTCCTGGATATTACTGTAAGATTAAATTAATCTAAAGATCAATTAAAAAAGGATACCAAGCGTTGATCTCAATATCCAATTCTAACGTTTTTAGCTCTGATGAAAGATAATGACAAAAATTATCACCAATTCTCTCAAGAACACAAGGAAAAATCATGAAAAGTAATGAAAATCTTGAGAAAATTCACCCTTAAAAATTGTGCACAAATCAGTTTGTCGTGTATTGCACCTAAATTGTGTTCTACAGTAAAATTGTAATCTAAATTATCTAAAATTGTTAAATTAAATTTTTTCTTTTAATTATTGGTTTAATCTTTATTTTTATTACGAAGAGATGTCCATACTCCATATTTAATGGTAATTCAGACATCCTTTGGATATTTACATTTGCTGTTTTTAGGGAAATATCAGATTTTCAGACTTATGAATGGTTGTTAAATGAGACGAACAAAGGTTCAAAATCAGACATTTTACGATATGAGGTATCTATTTATCTTAGAAAAATTATGCTTGATATAAAGGCTTTTAGAGGGGCTTTTTGTACCACTGTATTTGAAATACTTTTAAAGCTATTTTGACGTTTATTGGACACTAAAATAAGAAAGATTTGGCTGGTTTGTTTGTATCCAATAAACGTGAAAACAGCTGAACCGATCGGGTTCAATTTTTTTGTGGCAACTCCAACGACCCCAGGGATAGTTAATGGATGGTTAAAAGTAAAAATTTGACCCATGGAAAAAATGTTGATTTAAAATTTTTTTAGAAATCGATCAATGTTTACAGAAAAAAACTGCTACATTTAGAGTTTTACAAGGAAGAAAAAAAGACCGCCTGAAAAGCAACGCTAAAATTGTTGTTAGATAGCGGGCCTAAAAGCCAAGTATATATAGATTACAAATGGTAAATTATCAAAGTTTCATTTGTGTTATTTAGATCATCTATAAAAGCGGGGGTGTTTACTTTGATACGGATACAATATGGTAATTAAGTAATAGTTTACTACATAGGGACTGTAAACGTTATTTCAAGCTACCCTCCGTGCAAAGATGACAATGTCGGATTTACAACGGTACCCTTTAAAGCTTTGTCAGATCAAATATGAATTAGATATCAATGTTTTTCTTACTTTAAACTGTTTATTTTCAATTGCAGGTTCTCTGCGAAAGTGACTTATGCCTTTGCACAGAGAGTAAATTAAAATTACATTTACACTCCCTTAAATCTAAGTTTTGTAACTATTTAATGTATTTAGAGGCCCTTGCATATTTAATGTATTTAGAGATCCTTGCATATTTAATGATTTATATTTATTTTAATATATCTATTTACTTTTTTTGCTTGTGTTGTATCTAAAATCTAAAATTGAAACGATAATTTGTGTGCTTAATGATTTACTTTTTGAACACATGTTCATAAGATTGATTAGTTCAATTTTCTGTAAAGCAAATATTTTTTTAATATTCAAGTAAACTAATATAAAAAAGATATGTCTTTCATTTTTCTGTAAAAATCGTAATCATTTAGTAGTTTTTTTTAAACAAAAAATAAACAAATAGATCCATTTTCAAAATTTTTTCAGTATTTTCGAAAAACATGTTGATTTTGAATAGAACTAAGGATGAATAGAAAAATATTAAAACAAATACAATTTATAAAAAACGAAATAAAACTTAAAAATATTTATTTTCAGTGTTGAACCTTTAAATGATTTACTGACGGCAAGCTTTGTAGTTCTATCCCCAACACCGTGGAATAATCTGTCCAATGGGGCACTAGGCTTTCCTAAAGTACGTCTAATCTAGATATAATGCATTTTATATTCACATTCGGAAACTTCAAAGGGTGATACCAAAGCGGCAACTTCTCAAATAAGGATTTTTCCTAATGTGCAATTTCCCAAAAGTTATTTTTAAAAATAAGTTCAAATACAGGCACACCAAAAGTTAGATTGTTTTTAAAATTTTACCTTAAAAATTACTGTATGAAATTATTGAAATTTTTAGGGATCCAGGTTTTTGAAATATGTTTTAGATGCCTTAATACTCAATATAAAAAAGGTTTGTTTTAGATTTAATTAATAAACAAAATTCTTATTAATGCTACAAAGAATGAGTGGTGTATGTGTTTTTGATGAATTTCAACCTAAAAACTATGTTTTTGCATCTTTCAGAATCCGAATGCTGTTGTGACCTCGAAAACCGGACCACCGTTTTTCACTGGTTGTTTTGTAAGTTTTTAAAGGGACTGATCCTTCAGATAGAATGATTAAAATATCCAATTAAATGTGTTTTCTCATAAAGGATGAATAAGAATTCTTCGTTCTTCCAGCTTAAAATTGATTATTTGTTATTGTTAACGCTTTCATTTTTTTCGAAAAACGATCGTTTCATTATGAAAACGACAACGAAAAATCGAAAACGACGACCCTTCGTTAACGATCGTTAACGACGACCCTTCGTTAACGATCGTTAACGAAGAGAGGAAACCGACCTGAAGGACATATGTACTTATCATTGAATAGTTTTTAAGAAAAATATCAAGAAGTTTTAGCTCCCCCACATTTTTTTTAACTTCATGTAAGACGACATTCAATAAAGTTGCATGTAATTTTTTTTCTCAAAAACGATCGTTTTTCTAAAAACAACAGTTTTTTAAATTTCGTCGTTTCGTTAACGATCGTTAACGATAACCCTTCCTTAAGGATTGTTAACGACGACCCTTCGTTAACGATCGTTAACATAATTGTCAATCATTTTTTTTTTTCAAAAACGATAATTTTTTAAAAAACAATCGTATAAAAAACGGTCGCAAATCGTTTTTAAAAAACGATCTTTTTAAATACGATCGTTATTCGTTTTCTAAAAGTTCAAAACGAGTTTAAAATACTTTGCCAGATAGAAATAGTCTATAGTTTTGTTGGGTCCCTTGAAGTTACGCTTTGAGTGCCTTTAAAGCTGAGCCATCATGATATATAGAACTAGCAAAAGTCTTCGGCGTTGCCCGTAAGATCTCAAACATTGTCCTGAATCTGCAGAAAACGACCCATTGCGCCGAAACATTTAATTAGAGGAATAACCTCTCCTTTTTTTGACTTTATAAATTTGTTTTTTATCATTTTAGACAAATTACAATGATTCGAATATTAACATGATATTCTACGAACATCTAATCATCAATACAAACAACAGTATTGTTTACCAGGTAATTTTTGTGTGTTTGCTTCAAGGGACTGTAAGAGAAATTTCATATTCATTGTCTCTTCTGTTAAGGTCCTAGCTTTGCAGTAGCTTTTAAAGACAAGTTACAAATAAAATATTTCAATTTTTATTCCTCTAACTAAGGTTTATAATGTACAGATAAATATTAAATTATTTAGACACTAGATGCTTCTTGGATGGGAAAATAAACAGTGCTCAGATGAAAGAACTGGTTTGCCTTTCAATGACAAAAGATTGAAGACAAGACAAAATGTTAATTTAATGATAACCTTAGAGTGGGAATAGTATACATGACAAGACTAGAAAAGTAGTTTAACTATCCATGTCTAGTTCAGTAACATTTCCTTCGCTGCAGTACAATATATCTCTTAATATCTCAAGTTTTACGACAAGGGTCCGGGGAGTGGATACATTACGTCAATTTACATTTCGTCAATTAATACAATTCGTCAACTGTAACAATGGCCTAAAATTTGGTCAACTTTCAAATTTGAAAGCTTGATACCCACTGTCCCAGCTTGAGTACCAACTTAACAAATCCGCTAACTTCGCAAAAACTCAAGATTTCAGTTAGTTCTCAGATTCAACATGGAAAACTGGACTCGGGCTAATTTAATCTTGTCCAGCAGGAAAAAGAACATTTTGGTAGATCATCAGAACTTTGAGTTTAAACGTGAGAGTGAAAATGGTGCCAGATACTACGTGATTATTGGGATGTACCGCAACTGCTATGGGTCAGGTCGCAGGAGTTTAAGAATGGAGGGCTTACAGATATCTCTCCAGAACAATACTCGAGCAAGGAGTTCATGTTTGGTCTTCAGAGGAGACTAAACTAATGTAACGGCTGTTATCTGTCAGTTTTATTTTTACAGTTTACCATATACAATTTCTAAATATATGTATAAATGTAGAAACCTTGTAAATCAAATTGACCAAATTTATATGTGTTTGTATTAGTAGACCAAATGTATTGGGATGAAATGTATCAGTTGACGTTTGGTAACAGTTGACCAAATGTAGTGATTGACCAAATGTAAGGTTTACCAAATGTAAAATTGACCAAATGTATGGTCCGGGGTATATATTTTCATTAATGATTTTTGGCACTCTTCACACACAAAAGCTTTATAACACATCATTCCAAAATCATACATGGATGATTTTATGAAATGTTTGTGTACTTGTCTAGCTTGAGGAATTAGTTACTTATAGATATAAAAAGCTTTTTTTAAAAAGCAGAAATAAAAATAAAAGTTAATTTTTATTTATTTGCATTTAAATTTTTTTTTTATCTTGAAATATCGTCATTTTTTTTTAATCCGGGTACCCATTAAACTTTTAGCCCCGTGCAATAATATAGAACTAAAATTGAGCATATTTAGCAATAGTTTCATAAAAAAACAGGATATGACAGAAAGATTCTGTTAAAAAATACATTCTTTTAAAATTCTTAGCTTATCAGCATGTACTACATTTTTATAATTCGCTCTGAATTAAAATATGTAAAATATAGTTTTGAATTAAGAACTTTGTTTACAATGGTTAAAACAAATTTCAAAAGTAAATTTTCCCAAATTCAGAGAATTCACATTTTCTGTGGACCAAAGTTTAATTAAAAAGAAATCTATTTCTTTGCAAAGACTTCTAATTATGTTAAATGTTAAATGTTAAAGTCTGTTTACAAGTTTTTGAAAAATAATTAAGTTTTAAAAGAAAAATTAGCAACAGTTGTTCAACATATATTTTTGTCAGACTATTTACATGCGTCAATTTACAACATATACATTTGACATGAATAATTAATATTTAAAAAGTTAGATTTTAAGGGACTGTGTGTGAAAATTAAAGCAATCGTATTTTTTATCGATCGAGATTCGAGAAACGATAACTTCGATTGTATATTCTGTTTTTACTAATTAATCTAATTTCAAGTTACATTTAATCCCTTTCTTTTCAACCTTTGTAAACCTTTGTAATTTAAAACTTTTAATTTTTGATCTGATCAAATTCATAGTTTTAGATCAAAGATCTCTGTCATCAGGTTGCAAAGAAATAAGGATTGATAAATAGTAATTAGTGATAAGCTCTTTATTCACAATGTACAAGTTCCAGTCGTTTCCATGCATAAAAGGGACTTAAAGCATATGTTCAAGTGTCCCCCCCCATGTAGATCTGAGGGAAATGCAGGTTTCACAAGACAGAATTTATGCAAAAATGACAATTATACAATAATTCCAATAACACAAAGACACAAATTGTGCAAAGACGGAATTTATGCAAAATTGATAATTGTTCAATAATTCCAATAACGCAATAACAACAATTGTGCAAGGACGGAATTTATGCAAAAAGACAATTGTACAATAATTCCAATGACGCAAAGATCAAAATTGTGTAAAGACGGAATTTATACTCAAATAATAATTCCAATAACGAAGAGATAACAATTGCAGTGCAAAGACGTAAGTTATGCAAAAATGACAATTGCACAATAATGCCAATAACGATAGACAAAATTGCACAAAGACGGAAATTATTCAAAGACGAAAACTATGCAAAGACAGAAATTGTACAAAGACGGAAATTATGCAAAGACGACATTTGCAATATTTCTCTTTACACTACTGAGCTGGGATCCTTTCATCCGCATTTTTTTCAAACATATGCCGTCTCCGACCGGGACCGTCTTAAGTACGATGAAACATGTCTCCTGTCGGCGCAAACAATTGGAAAGCATAGAAAATTTGATAATGTATTTCTTAAATACACTCGTTAATTTGGGAAGATTCGTGCGCGGTAGAATTAGTTTGTACTATCACTGTAAGCTGAAGCTGGATAATATCCATCCGGTGCCACTAAAAATTGATTTAAAAAAAAACTTCTCTAAAATAATATTATATAAGTTAGACTTTGAACTTCAACATTATTACATATTATTGATTTAAACTAAAGATCTTTTCCTGCAGTCGTTTTACAAGATGCATTGATCGCGCTATTTTCTAATTTTTATAAAATGTTTGAGGATTAATTTTTCAAAATAAAATTACTATAAATACGAAACATTTTTGGTCCTTTTGATTTTGATTTCAACCCCAAATAATGAGAATGTTACCTTAAAGACAATTTACNAACTGTGCAACTACTTTGCCTCATATATTCATTGGTCTATTTAAAGTTATATCTTGAGTCTAAAAGTCGACTTCCTATTCCAGAGTTTTTTGGTTATTACTGTAAAGAAAAAATAGATGGGTATTCAGTTGGATCTTTAAAGCATTTTCTTACGTGACTGCATAACTTATAAAAATTTTGTTCGATTTAAAAAAAAAAATTTTGTAAAAAAGTTAAGAAAATTTTGTTACCTGTCGTCTTTATCTTGTTGCATCATGTTTGCGACATCTATTCCAAGAATAGCCAACACCACTAATATCCTTTTTGCGAAATTTAATAGCCCTTTCAACGAAACGATGATATTTATTTTTTATTTATTTGAAGTCATCATAATTTTAACTCAATATTACTTATCCTTATTTTAAAATATCTTTTAATCCAAAATATGCTCTAAACTATTTTTTATAAAAGCATTTATTTAGGGTAAGCTGTGATCTCTGATAAAATAACAAAAAGAATAAAAAAATCTTTAAAAAATGTAAATGTACCCGAGTAACAAATAACTTAAACGGAATCTAAACGTATATACGTACAGGGTGTCCCACGAAACATGACATTTAATAAATAGTTAATTTTAGTTAAACAAATCTTTTGCTTAAATATATTTTACTTTGAAATCAATTTTAATATAACTTGACTCCCATATAATATTTTCATTGATCTATGGTATCAAACAACTGAACTAATAATGGAAAAAGACTCTCTAAACTATTTATTAACTGTCATGTTTCGTGG